CGAAAGCTTGTAAAAAATGGAGGACTTCCAGTTGGCGCCGCGGGGATCCAGACGGGGAAATGGCGAGCTCCGCGGAGCTCTGCCAAAACCCCGTCTGCCAAGCTGCCGCCGACAGGTCTTCGGACCTCCCCTGTCTTGAAGGGACAGGGGGACAAGAAGGGACCCCTTGGCCGGCCGAGAGGAACGGGCAGGTTCCTCGGGGGCGGAGGCTTTCCCTTCACGCCGGCAGCACTGGAATGACAGTGATGGCGGCTGTCCCGAAACCGCGGCAACCAGGAACAAAGATCGTGCTGGAGGAGAGGAGGAGAAGCGAGAAGCGCAGAGTGGAGCAGGGAGTTTGAAAGCCAGGTGAGTTCATTTCTGCCCAGGCGAGAACTGCCCGTAAATGCTGGATTACAAAAAGTGTGGCCAGCCTTAACAGCAGCTAAGAAACATCGGGGCAAAAAGAAATGAATGGTGGAGAAAAGACCTGTTGACAGATAGCGTTAATTTCAGACTTTTTGGAAATGATTTTTTTTTTTACAGATTTGGTTTTATTGTTTTATTTTTCTGGCTATTTCTTGTGGCTAAACGAGATTCGATTACGTTTGAGAGAGAGGAAGGAGAAGAGGAAATAAATATGCTTTTAAAAGAAAAGATGGCTGCCAGCTGAAAATGAAAGTGTAAATTCCAGACTACTTGTTACTTGAAAGAGAAACTTCGTTGCTTGTTACTTAAAGTGGATTATTTTGAGAAAAATTTCAAGAGGCTTGACTTTGGACATATAATCTGTGTATTGGAGGATATTGAAGACCAGAAAGAAGAAACTAAGTGAAATAATGAAAACTGATTTATTAAGCGTGGCAACAAGAGAAAAAGGGTGTGGCAATAAAAGAAGAATATGATGATACCATAAATGGAATAGTCAATTCAGAAGTAACTTTATAGAACTTACAATTTAGAGGACATTGAAATGGAAAATAAATATACTCAGATAGATTGGAGAAGGGGCAAAAAATGGAATATAAAGTAACAAGATAACGAAATACTATAGTTTGAATTAAATGGATGTAATGGTGTCTGGGAGTTTGATCTTTGAATAATTTTAGGAGATACCTTTCTTCTTCTCTGGGCTCTCTCTCAATTCTATTTTTTTTTTCCTTTTTCTTTTTTCCTTTTGTCCCTTTCCCCCTCTCTATTTTTTCTAATTCTCTTTTCAATTTCTTTTGTTATATTTCTATTCTCTTTCCTATTTTTATTCTTGTTTTTTTCTTTTGTTTTTATTTTAAGTATTATTATATTGTTACTATTCTCTCTCTTTTTTCACTATTATTTTTATATAAGTTGATTTTATGAATATACAACAATTTGACTTGGAAAAAATGAGTATAAATGATTGAAAATTATGATTTTTGGATGTTTTAATACTTTTTTAAACTTGGAATTTTTAAGCCCTATTTACAGACCTAATAATTTAGAAGAAAATGTTCTCTAAGGTACTGGATATTAAGAAGAATTAATTAGACTTAAAAATTGTAAAAAATTTATTTTAAAGTGATTTAAAATGTTGATATTCACTGGAAATAAATATGGCACAGGAGAAAGCCTAGGAGAGAATAGGAGCTAAGATATTTGTCGATATACTTTTTTATTTTTAATCAGTTAAAGACATGGAGGAGAATGGATTTAAAAATGAATATGAGTAATATATTGTGAATTAATTTAAAGTTAAATAATTGAATAAGAGATGTAGAAATGGAGGAAAACATAAAGCTAGACAATAATTAAAATAAAATGTTATGAATTAGTTAAACAAATGAAGTTAGGAGTGGAGGGAAGCATGATTCTGGAGAACAGTAATAGTAAAGCTGTGATCTAGTCTTACAAATAAGGTAGGAGTGGAGGAAAGCATCATAATGGAGAACAGTTAAGGCAAAACTGGTAACCAGTTAAAAATAAAAACAAGAGTTAGGAGTGGAGGAAAGCACGGGTTGGAAAACAACTAAAGTAAAACTGTGAACCAGCCATTAAAGTTAGGAGTGGAGGGAAGCATACACTAGGTAACAGTTAAAGCAAAACTGTGAACTAGCCAAAAAATAAAAAGTTAGGAGTGGAGGAAAATATACCTGGAGAGCAACTGAAATATAGTTGCGAACCAGTTAAAAATAGAGGTTGGAGCGGAGGGAAGCATTGCTGGGAAGCAACTATTTGAGTTGCGAACCAGTTTCATAATAGATTTAAGAGGATTGAAGGAGATAACGTTGGTATGCAGTTAAAATTATACTGTGAACCAGCTCAAATAAGTAAGGTCAGGAGTGGAGGAAAGCATCGCTGGAAAGCAACTGATTAAGTTGCGAACCAGCCAAAAAATAACCTCAGGAGGAAGTGGAGGAGACAATACTGGAGAATAGGTAAGCCAAACTGTGAACCAGTTAAATAAATAGAGATAGAAGTGGCGGAAAACACTGTTGGGAAATAGCTATTATGAATCAGTTAAATATTAGACTTTAAAATAAAGTATTTTGGGAGTGACAAATTTTAGATGGAAATGTTGATTGACTTAGAAATAATTAAGAGAGGAGGGAAATACGCTTTGTCAAGATTATGGATACTAATTGCCATTTAAAAGAGGTACAATATAAACTCAATGTAATGGGTCTTAGAAATGAGGAATATATATGAAATATTGATTGATAAAATGACAAAGATTTGGAATGATGTCTATTTGGAAATAATTGTTTAGAATTTAGGGTGACATAGTGGAATGTTCAAAATCTAAATGTTTAGAATAAGATTTCTTTTTCTCTTTTTTTCTTTTTTTTTTAAAAGAAGTAAATGGATAAAATTTGGAACACAATTGGTTGAGGGACTGTGAGTAATTGTATTTATTTTATATTGGATCAAATCCTTGCTCTAAAAAGATGTATTTTATGTTTCATGTTTTTTTTAAAAAAAAACTTTTCAAAAAAAATGCAAGTAGAAAAATAGGGACCACCTTTGGTGGGAAGGTAACAGCGTTCCGTGCGCCTTTGGCTTTGAGTCATGCCAGCCACATGACCACGGAGATGTTTTTGGACAGCACTGGCTCTTCGGCTCTGAAACGGAGCTGAACACTGCCCCCTAGAGTTGGGAACAACTAGCACATATGTATGAGGGGAACCTTTACCTTTACTTTATTTATGTGCCAGCCATATCCCTCTTAATGCAAAAGGATGGGTTCCAGGTGATTCTTCCTGGACTTGGCTTCAAGGAGTGAATGTCTCCCCTGCAAATGGGTGAATGTCTTCACCCAAATATTCAGAAAGACAGTGAGAATAGTTTGTTTTTGAATATATGGGAGATTGTGCCATGCCTGGAAGAAACACTGAGCTGGAGAAAGGAAACCCCTGCTAATATATGGCACACCCCAACATCTACACAAGTTCTTCTTGCTTTCTAAGCATCCTGGAAGATCAGCACAGCTTAGGAAAAGTCTCATCCCTCTGCCTTCCAAAGCAGAGAACAGGAAAGTCTGCTCTTATAGAAACATTTAGGAAGTGGACAAAGGTCCAGCCATTTTTTGAATACATCCGAAATCAGAGCAGCATGAAGGGAAATCCTTGCTCCTTGAGGTTTGGGAACAGTGAGAACTACAGGGAAGACTAAATGTTCTCCACCATCGAATTAGGCTCCAATGTCTCTCCCGAGGAAGCCATGAATCTGACTCATTAGGTCTCAAACATGACAGTCAGTAAGTGAGAAGATGGAACACAACCTACATCACTAACATTATAGTGTAGGTCCAACAAGGGGCAGATGATCTGTGGCATCCCACAGTGCTCAACTACAATTTCCATTAATGCTTTGGGCAATATTGTAGGAATTTACATTTAATGATATCTGGGGAAGTTCAGGAATAAGTGGACAGCCTCAGGTGACTTATGCCTGGATTTAAAAAAAACAACAACAAAGCAGAAGAATGATGAGCAATGAATAAGCATTTCTGTTGTGGTCCGCCAGCAGCCTGCGGAGCTGGCAGCAGATTCGGACACTGAGGAGGCTGGGGAGGAACGTGGGCCAGTCCTGGAGTCTGGGGAAGGCTCAGACAAGGGCTCTGCGTCAGAGGCAGAGATGGGCCCAGGGCCATCTAGGACTTATGTGCGGACTCCGGAGCCTCCAGAGAGGCAGAGGAGCAGGGGGAGCCTGTTCCTAGTGTGCGCATGCGCAGAACTGCCAGAAGGCAAGAACAGTTAAAACAAAAGGGACGACTTGGGAGTAAGGCTTGGAGATGATTGGCCCCTCCCATAAGACATAAAGGAAGAGCAAAGGCACATGGGCCTTTGCAGGAAGCAACGTTGTGGATGGTGTCTGTACTTTGAAGCTCCGTTTTTGACTCCGTGTTTCCGTGTGGCCTTGCCAAGATAATTGCCAATTAGGTCTTTGGAAGCATGTCAAAGAAGATAAAGGTGGGTGTTTACCAGCCTTATCCAAAGGACTGTGGCAGACTTCTGTTGGACTATTTATAAACTCTTGGTGAGTCAGCACGTGCTGTGAATGAAAGGAATTCACAACCATTAAAATTTAAAAAAGGGGGGGGGAATTTGAGGACTAATTGTGTGCTTTTTACTATATCAGGAAGCCTAGGTCAGAACAATTCCCCTGAGCCAGCTGTTTGTTCTCAAGAGAGTCCTGGATAGGTGAATATAAGTGTCCCAGGGTAATGTTGCAGGGTCGGTCACTGTGATTAGAGATTGTGTCTTCCGAGCTTTTGGATTTACGCTGGAGCCCATACTCAGGGAAATTCACCACACAGAGAACAGTCCAGAGCACCCAGAAAAAGTTCCCCGAGGATAAGCTTCAGCATGAGTCCAAAAGCTCGGAAGATAAAATCTCTGATCCCCGTGACCGACCCGGATTGGATCCTGCAGCCCTCGATAGGCTTCCTAAATTTCATTGTCTCCGGTTTATTCTAAAGGTAACGGCAAATTTGCTTAGTCTTTTCCCCCTTTCCAATGTAACAACACCGGAGGACTATTTCATACCTGATAGAGACAGTGGCAAACACTCCGCAGCTGGGGTGGGAACTCGGTGGAAGAGTTGATGATGGCATGGAAGAACTTCTCAGTCATCTGAAGAAGGCTCCGCTGGTTACTGTCGAGGCTTTCACTGGATTCCAACCTGTAAGACAAGCCTGTGATAGCTCTCCCAAGCTCCCTGGCTTCCCTTTTTAAAAAAATGGCTCAGGTGTGTGGCTTCTGCAAGATCCACACTGCAGCCATAGTTCTCTCCTGCTTAGTGCTACAAAGAACAAAGAAGGGAGGGAGACTTGGAATTAGAGTAGAAATTAACAACAGAATTGCCAAGCTGAATTGTCTGGGAGTTGCAATTCCAACACGCTGGATGGTAACTCTCTCTATCAGTGATTGCGAATGTTTTGAGCTTGACATGTCAAAAATCCAGAAAATGCCTGCCTTGACTCGGCTGGTGTGTCACACAGGCAAAGATATACACACCCCGGACAAACAAGGCCTCATCAGACCCTCTGAAAGTCACGCAAGTCAGCTCTGCTCTCAGAAGGCCCCTGGAGCCTCCGAAAATCGGGTTAAAATGCTCACATGGCTTTTGGAGGCTTCAGAGGACCCACAGGGACAAGGCCCTCTTGCAGGATTTCCAGCGGGTCCAGAGGCCACAGGTGTCAAAAGTTCACCATCACCAGTCCACCTTCAAGATTCCAACTGGATCATCCATTATCAGAGGATTGAGTCTTCACCATTATCTATTCGTAAACAATCAACTTGTGCTAATTAGGCTGTGCTGAAGCTGAAATGGGCTATTTCTTCTTGCTGCTTGCTGCAAGGAGGTAAATTGCTGGGAGGCAGAGGCCAAAGGGTGGGGGGCAGTGGGTAGGAGGAGCTACATTCGGTGTATAAGAAGCGCCCAAATTTTCACCCCCTTTTATGTGGGAAAAAGGTGCGTCTTATACTCCGAAAAATATGGTAGGTAGCAAAAAATTCAACATGGCAGTAAAGGAATAAGTGCATTCCCCACTGCTCCAAGAAAGAGACTGTTTTTCTCCGTTTCTACCCATCCCATCATATACAGGAGAGGGAGGCTCCAGGTGTTGATTAGAGAATGTAATCTAGATCAGCCTTTCTCAAACCTGGAACCTTTTAAGATGTGTGGACTTCAACTCCCAGAATTCCCCAGCCAGAGTTCTGAGAGCAGAAGTCCACACATCTCAAAGTTGCTAAGGTTGAAAAACACTGATCCAGACCAGTGTTTCTCAATCTTGATGACTTTAAGGTGTTATGGACTCAACTCCCAGAATACCCCAGCCAGCCATGCTGGCTCAGGTATTCTGGGAGTTGGGAGTCCACAAATCTTAAAGATTGAGAAACGCTATGATAGACAGAATGCTCTTCTCCTAACTCTTATTTTTCCTCACAACAATCCTACGAGACAATCCTGTTGGCCTTTTAAAAAACCCTTAACACCTGGCTGGGCATGGAATTAAAAAAAGTGTTGAAAAAATAGTCTTGAAAGAAAGCTCATGTCTTGCCTCTTTCTGACAAAAATCCAGAGATAAAGACCTTTATTATTCAAACTTCAAAACCAGGGAGAAAAACAAAAAGAGGAGGAAAAATAAGAAAGAGTACAAACTTCGCCCTCCTTCTCCTCTGGCCCGCCCTTCCTCTCCCCATCACTATTCCAAAATCAAACCTTGTAGGGTCCACTTCGAAGCTCACAGGCTGCCATTCTGGGGATGTAATTACAGTTCTTAATAAAGGCTCCAAAAGCTTCTGTAGGTAGGTTGCACCATACACCTGCATGAGAGAGTTTACCCCTGTTCAAATTGGTTTCAGCCGAGAAAAAAAAAGTGTAAGCTCGTTCCCACCTTTAGCTTTTTACTATATCTTGACCATTTTGTTCCTTTTCATACTTTTGTACGTAACATCTGCAAAGCCTCTCTTGTGGAGAGGGGTGGTCAGAGATCTCTTTTTCCTATGCAAGTTTTCAGTAGCATACAGTTTTCCTACTGGCACACAAGGAAAAGAGGCTGATTGGGAAATCCGGCAAGCAGAGCCGAGAACAAAAAGAAAGGGGGATACCCCGAAATCACGAGGTCCAGGGGCAATCTAAAAACTGAAACTGCTGCAGCAAAAAATCTTGACAGCTATCACTTAGGCATTAAAAAAGACAGCATGCCACCCTAAACTGGATTTTTAAAAAGTCTGCCTGCATCCTTAATAACTGTCGGGCTGGGAATTCTGTGTAGTAGTTAAAATCAGCATACAGAATCATTTTACTATGATTTAGTTCATACAAAGGAGAATCATTTTACTATGATTTCATTCATACAGGAGATGCAAAAGATCTCCTGTACGGAGAATTAGTGCAGGGAAAGCGCCTTAGAGAGAGACCACAGGTACGATATAAGGATATTTGCAAGAGGGATCTAAAGGCCTTGGGAATGGACATTAATGACTGGGAAACCTTGACCTCCGATCGTTCAGCTTGGAGGCTAAAGACGCAGCATGGCCTTCTCCAATTCGAAGAGACACTTGTTCGGCAGGCTGAGGCAGTCCCGGAACCAGCGAAATCTGGGGGCTGGGCAGGGGACAGAATGTATCTGCCCTCAATGTGGAAGGGATTGCCACTCTCGAATTGGCCTTTCTAGTAACACCAGATGCTGTTTTAGGACCTCTTTCCAGAGCACGATACCATAGTCTCTTGAGACTGAAGGTGGCCAATGATTCAGACAACAGTTACAACTTCAAACCTGTATCTCAACAGGGAAGGCCAATTTTTTCCAAGTCCATCTGGTTTGCTGTGTCTTAACCTTTTGCCCCAAATCACTCTGCACGTCAAAACCAGATTTGAAGGTCAAATGTACCTTAAAGCAGAAAGTCATTATTTTGCTAGCCAGACTGTTTCCCCTGAAGAGCGTCTGCATGGAATCGGCCAGCTCCACTTCTTTAGAAAACATGTTCCAGAGCAGCTGGTAAAGCAAGTGCCTCGAGTCAAAAAGGGTGACGAGGACACGAGCTAGTTCATCCTTCGGGGGGGGGGGGGGGAAGGAAGAAAAACAGAAAGAGTTTTAAATTAGGTTTTGTTCTTGATTCGCTGAATAAGCCACAGTTGGATGGGTTCGTGCAGCATTCAAAACTACAAGCCAATACAGTTAACAAGACTGGAATTACAATTACAATATATCCTTGTTTAATGCCCATTCACTTAGCAACCACCTGAAGCTCCGATAGTCCTTGCCAGAGCTACTTATTATTGTTTTTGAAGTTCCGATGGCCAGGCAGACACACTCTGCAGCCAGAGGATCCCATTTGGGGTGCTTGGCAACCAGCTTGCATTTATGGCCAATTGCAGTATTCTGCAGTCACCCAAAGGTGCTTTCTCAAGAGGGAACTGGACTTTCTTGTTTCTCCTTTGAAGACATTTCGCTTCTCATCCAAGAAGCTTCTTCAGCTCTTGAAAAAGCACCTGGATGACTGAGAATCTCCATAGACATTCTGCAGTCACATGACCAGGATTTTCAACCTTTTTTGCAGGTTTCCAGCATTTACTTCTGGTTTCCGGCAGAAAACAGCCGTTGGAAAAATGGGTTCACTGAGGTGTTTGCGTAACAACTGTAAAGTTCACTTAATACCAGCCGCAAAAAAAATAAAATAAAATAAAATCGGAGGCAGTTCTGCAGTGAACCAATTAACGAATGTCACAAGTGACAAGTTACAGCCATAATTCTCGGGTCAATTACAGCTATAAGTCAAGGACTACTCTAATAAAAACAGCATCCAACTCATTTCAGAATGAGCTCAAATATATCCATTCAGGTCAAGTTCTTTTTAATCTGTCTTTTAAAATAAAACTTTGCAGATATTCCTTTTATTAAGTTGTTAAGAAACAAAAAGCCTCTGTCATTGGAATGTAGACCTCCTGAAGCAAGGGTGTCAAACTCAAGGCCCGGGAGCTGGATCTGGCCCACAGGTGCTTAGATCTGGCCTGCGGGGCTGGCCTGAAACAGAAAAGGACTGGCCCGCGGTGCCTCTGCTAGTGAAAATGGAGCTTGAAAAGGGGGGCAGGGATCCATTTTCACTGGGAGAGGGCTGCAGGAGGCCAGCCAGGCCGAAAATGGGGCGGGGGGGGGGGGGGGGGGCGCATGGCTAAAACTAAACTAAAAACAAAACAAAAGGAGAAATGTTTTCCCTTTTGCATTTGAGCATGCAAGAAGGGACAGGAAAGAAGAAAGGGAAAGAGGAAAGACAAAGAACGGAAGATGTGAAGAGAGCAAGGAGAAAAATAAGGAAAGGGAAAGAAGAAAGGAAAATGAAGAGGGAAGAAAAACGAAGAGAAGGAAGGAAGGAAGGAAGGAAGGAAGGAAGGAAGGAAGGAAGGAAGGAAGGAAGGAAGGAAGGTTATAATGAGAGTGAGGGAGGGTCTCAGGGAAGTCCTGCCTTAGCACTTGGCCACCACAGGTGCCGACACCATGGCCATACCCCCGCCCACACCCCTGCCCAGCCTCCGAGGTCAAACACAACACTGATGCGACCCCTGTCCCGGTGGTGGGATTCAATTTTTTTTACTACCGGTTCTGTGGGCGTGGCTTGGTTGGCGTGGTATGGCTTGGTGGGCATGGCAGGGGAAGGATACTGTAAAATCTCCATTCCCTCCCCACTCCAGGGGAAGGATACTGCAAAATCCCCATTTCCTCCCGATCAGCTGGGACTCGGGAGGCAGAGAATAGATGGGGGCGGGGCAAGTCAGAGGTGGTATTTACTGGTTCTCTGAACCACTCAAAATTTCCGCTACCGGTTCTCCAGAACTGGTCAGAACCTGCTGAAACCCACCTCTGCCCTGTCCTAAAGGAATCCTTTTCGTCTCCCTTTTGCCAGTCCCCGCTGTATATAACACAATTGTAACTCACATTCAACATTCACCAATTTAAAGCCATAAAGGAGCCACCGACAGTGAGATTCATCTTACCCACTGGGAACAAGGCACCACGTTTGCCAAGGCCATAGCAATGGGCAATTCTCCCTGGTCACCCATCATGGTGACCAACTCCACCAATCTCTCAAACCGATCCGCCAGCACAGTTTCCGCCAGGGTGTCGAACTCAGTGCCCTGTTGCAGAATTTTGGTGAGGACCTCCATGAACGTAGCTCTCGTCTGGAGATCTTTGTGATATCCTAACCCTAGAAACCAACAACAAAAGACGGAGAGTTTGAGTACAGTTTTGCATTTCCAAAGTCCACAAAGGAAAGGAGAAGGCTCATTCATTTTTACCTATAGAGTGCATAAGGCCACTATCCACGTTTGCGTTGAGCAAGTTTGACATAGCCAGAACGGTGCAGTGCCGCAAGGAAGCCAACCTTCGAGACATCCCACGTTTCCGCCCGCCTGTTTGTGCACTCTCATCTTCCACTTCACTGCAGTCATTAAGGAGGTTCATAAACAGGGTGAAGTACCTAAATGTATATTTAAAAAAAAAAAGGTTTGCATCGCTCTTGGAAGATCTTCTCATAATCAATAAAAGTGGTAACCTCAAACATTTTATTAGCAAAATAGATGCCTTTCTACATGACATATTCAGCGTTCAGACATGCACCCCCAAGTTCATTTGCAGGATAACTACTCTTACAGTGGATATAAAAAAAAGTCTAGCTTTTTATTGTTATTTTTCTTATTCTTCAGTTCTTCTTGGACGAGAAGTGAAATGTTTTCAAAGAAAACACCAAGAAAGTCCAAGTGCCTTTTGGAAAAAGGACCTTTGGGATAACTATGACTTGATTGAGAATCTCTCCAGTCATTTCAGTTTTCTTTCTTTTCTTTTTTTATTATCACTGTGTTTCCCCAAAAATAAGACCCTGTCTTATATTTTTTTTGAACCCTGAAATAAGTGCTTGGTCTTATTGCCATGTGCTCAAAAGCCCGATTGGGCTTATTATCAGGGGATGTCTTATTTTGATGGAAACAAGGTATTATAAAAAGTTTTTTATTAAATAAACATTAAAAGCATTGGACACGGTGTGACCATCCCGGTTTTGTCATTTCCATACATATTTTTAACGTAACAACAAATATAATTGCTACTTGTCATACATTGCTATTTTGGTCTTATAACCATATCCCTTGTCCTCATTTATATTTTTATCTAAGAAGAAGAAAAGAATTTCAGTTTGTTTTTCAACTGAATTGTGGAGCTTATACCTTATATGGGTGGAAAAAATTCTGGAGTGATTTATCTTGGCCTAATTTTTTTACATCTCAAAAAACTGGCATTTTAACAGGGGTGTGTAGACCATATAGCCACTGTATACTTTCATGCCCAGGCAATGCTTATTGACCAAGGAGAACAGAAGTTTAGCTATTTCAATCTATGAAGTGCTAAAAATAGGCCTTTACTTGAGAAATAACTGGGATTTAGCTTCCATCAATTCAACTCCATCTCCTTCTTCTGGTTGAAGTGGAAGCCCGGCCAGAAGAGAGACAACAGCTTCCATGCTTGCCTGGTCCAAGTCTCTGAACAGTAAAACAATGAATGAAACGAATCAATGGAAAGTGCATTTTTCACATAATTTTCACATGGGGTCCGAAGCAACCAAGAGTCTTAAAATTGCTTTTCTTAAGCTGAGAGGTAGGGGCCTGGTCAAAGTCACATGCAGACCAGTGGTGAAATCCAAATTTTTTTACTCCCGGTTCTGTGGGCGTGGCTTGGTGGGCATGGGGTGGCTTGGTGGGCGTGGCTTGGTAGGTGTGGCAAGGGAAGAATACTGCAAAATCTCCATTCCCATCCAACTCTGGGGCCAGCCAGAGGTGATATTTGCCGGTTCTCCAAACTACTTAAAATTTCCGCTACCAATTCTCCAAACTGCTCAAAATTTCCACTACTGGTTCTCCAGAACCTGTCAGAACCTGCTGGATTTCACCCCTGATGCAGACCTTCCATAGCTGAGGCTGGACTTGTACTTGAGTTTCTGCTTTTCTAAACCAACACTTTCACCACTACCTAACTTTTGGAATGAGAGGAAGGAACTGACCTAAAGTTAGCATGGATTCCATGCCTAAGACAGGACTAGAACCTGGATCTTCCCAGGGTCCAATACCTGAACCTTACATCATACTGGTTCTTGAGAGAGAAGGATGGCCTGAAGCACCAGTACACACCTCACCAGCAAGATCTTGTAGATGAGGAGGACTAGAACCAGGACTTCCCCATTTCTACTCCTACACTTTTAGCAGTAAATCAGACTGTCTCTTCGTCTGAGAATGACTGCCCCAAAATGACTCATGGAAGTTCTGTGGGTGAAGGTAAAAGGACTAGAATCAGAGTCTTTCACTTTTAGTCCAAATACACCAAACTGGCTCTTTTCAACATAAACACAATGAACTCAATGTGCACTTGCATTCATTTGGAGCATTCTACCTCAAGACTGAATTCAGTGGTGAAATCCAAATTTTTTTACTACTGGTTCTGTGGGTGTGGTTTGGTGGGCTTGGTGGGCGTGGCAGGGGAAGGATACTACAAAATCTCCATTCCCACCCCACTCCTGGGGGAAGGATACTGCAAAATCTCCATTCCCACCCCAGTCTGGGGCCAGCCAGAGGTAATATTTGCCAGTTCTCCGAACTACTCAACATTTCTGCTATCGGTTCTCCAGAATCTGTCAGAACCTGCTGGATTTCACCGCTGACTGAATTCCATTTGTTATTAATCAACCGCCCTATAAATTATTTTTAACAATTTGCTGCATAGATAGTGTAGGTGACATGGCTAATTTTACCTTGTCAGACATTTCACATCCTCATCTGTAGCCTGGTTGGATGTTCCCATAACCCAGTCGGTCAAATATTCCACCATCTTGTTCCTGGAGTTCAGAATTACAGAGCAAAATGTATAGAAACAACATCTGACAAAATCCAAATTAAAGCGACTATGTGGAATGTTTTCCAAATGCTAGACAAAATGCTATCTTGGAAATCTTACATTGATCCCTCCCTCGCCACAGAATCAATACAATTTCATAATTTTCTCTTACAGCAACCATGCCGATTTTCTGCCACTAGCTAAATAAGTTATTAGTAGCCATCACATCATAAAACCGTCAGGCAGCATTATCTAGCCAACTTTGGCTAACATGAAAAAGCCAAGGTGGTTTGCGACTCTCTAGTGCATAGATGATAGCCACTAGAAAATCTTGCAGATCTTGTAGGTGAGTATGGGAACCCGAAGTAAAATGCCGGTGAAAATATTAGAAGTTGAGTTTAATCTGAAGGAGACTTTATTTTTATTTATTAAAATATGTTTCTGAATTGTTACTTCTGGGACTTATGCTCCTCTTTCTCTTAAATGCCAAGAATGCTGTTGTTTTCATTTTCTTCTCTCTCCTAAATTTATTTACTATCTGCCCACTAAATTTGTTTGCATGCCCTCAACCATCACTATTCCAAAATCAAACCTTGTAGGCTCCACTTCAATGCTAACAGGCTGCCATTCTGGAGATGTAATTATAGTTCTTAATAAAGGCTCCAAAAGCTTCAATCAAATCTCACCTGAATTTCATTTCTTGGCAGAAGGACAGATCATCTCGCCTCTCCATCATTACCTTCACAAGTTGACAGAGTTTGGTTTTGATCTGAATTGCATGCACCAGATTCCCGAGGACACGCACGTACCTATGAGATGATATGAGATAAGGCCTCTCAATTAATGAGCCTTGGTAGTACAGGGGTTTAAGGCACCCTGTTATTAAGCTGGTTATTAAGACCAGCTGCCTGCAATTACTGCAGGTTCGAATCTCGCCAAGGCTCAAGGTTGACTCAGCCTTCCATCCTTTCTAAGGTAGGTAAATTGAGGACCCAGTTGTGGGGGCAATAAGCTGACTTTGTATAAATATACAAAAGGATGAAGGCTATTGCTGAGCACATTGTAAGCCGCCCTGAGTCTTCGGAGAAGGGCGGCATATAAATCAAATTTAAAAAAAAAAAAAAAATTAATGAAGCTTCCGAAAACTACCAACATCCTCTGAGCATCTTCTCCAAAGCCATCACAGGCCAAGAATGAGAAGATTGGGATTTTTCCTAATAAATTAGCATTCCCATGCTGGTACCTGGGTTGGACTACGCAATTGCAGTGGAATCTGATGCTGGATTGCAGGAAGGAGGGAGTCTTTCCCAAAAACCCGTAAAAGACAAATCAGCCTTGAGTTCCTGGTATGCAGATAGAAGTTGAGAAGGGATCCTTCCTAAACCTTTCATAGGCTTTATCTGATTGTTATGCAGATTGTGCTTTAATCTGGCAAGATTCCTGTCTATGGGTGAACAGCAATAAAGAAACTACTCTGAGCAATTCATGGTGTCATTCTTGGTTCCTTGTGCCTGATGGCTATCTGGAGATTATGAAGGTTGAAATTCAACCTATCCACAGGACATCCAGTTTCAATGCATGGATAGATTTTATCTGTTGAAGTAAGCCATCATAACCATGACTGAAAATATATGAATGTTATAGCACAAACAAACAAACAAACAAAACTTTTCAATGGTTCCTCTTATCCAAGAAATAACAATGGTATCTTCAGTTATGAGTTAACTTTTTAAATAAGAAATGGTTGCATATTTGAAAGGATTGCTGCCAAAATTTCCAGATGTTTTTAGGATTTTAATTTTGAGGAGTTTCCTTTCCTCCCAATTGTTCTTCTTTTTTTTTACTGCAAAGCCTTTGACAGATTTTTACCAATAGAAATCACACGAGAATAAAGATACAAAAAGGAAAATAAGATGATAAAAATAAAATAAATAAAAACCTTATAAACAAACATTTAAGGACTTTTTTTTTTGGGTAACGGTGATGATTTTTCAAACACGTAAATTAAGCATAGAAAAGATCTTTGTTTCACTTCTCAATCTGGAGGGGCTCCACAAAACAGATTCAGGGAAAACATACCTGTAGTCTGTCGGTTATAAGTTACCTATCCTTTTTCTTAGATAGGTTGCCTATCCTTTCTCTATGGCAGAGGTCTTCAAACTTCAACCAGCTATGCTGGCTGGAGAATTCTGGGAGTTGAAGTCCACAAGTCTTAAAGCTACCAAGTTTGAAGACCTCTGCTCTGAATCTGAATCAGAGGTTGAAGGGCATGATTCAACCGGCTGTAAGTCTAATGAACTGGTAGGACAGCAACCACCCTCTGAAGCAGACCAAGGAGATAATGACCAGGAGAACATGAGATCAGATTCTGGAAGGGATGCTAGCTCCATGACACAGAGGCAACTTTGAAGGACCGAATGAAGGATCATTTATTCAGGAAGCAATGAGAACGCCTCTGACTCATGCCCACAGCCGGGCCTTCTTAGGAGCAGCTACCATCATGTTACTCTCTATTAGACATGGTGTTCTAGGGAGGTGGCCCCCAACCTTTTGAGCACAAGGGACTGGATCCATGGAGACAGGTTTTTCTGTGGACCAGAGGGGGCCTGGTTTCGTCTGCTGGGGCTTTGCTTGAACGCGAGGCCCTGTTTCTGGCATGCCATGGCCCAGTGCTGGTCCACAGACCGGGGGGTGGGGACCCCTGTTCTAGAGGACCAGTTGGTGGAACACATGTGTTATTTGAATCCAACACTGACAGATTAGTCTTATTTCTCTACTGTTGCCTCATCCCTCTTCCGAGACTCATGTGATGTAAGTTATTTACCTTCTGGCTCTGCTGACGTCTCTTTTGGCTATGACTTTGGGTGCACTTCAAGCTTTCAATGCCCAAACTCTCAGCTTCAATCTCCACTGACACTATCAGCATTGCGCCCAGGGCAGGGGTGGGTTCTAAATTTTTTTTTACTACTGGTTCTGTGGGCGTGGCTTATTTTGTGGGTGTGGCTTGGAGGTCATGTGACTAGGTGGGCGTGGCTAGCTGGTCAGAGTCATTTCTGGAAGGTCCTCGCACTTACGACCCAACTCATTTGTTTGCTTTTAACATTGATCAGCTGTAGGATGGCCCTTTGAAGCCCCGCGGCAAGAGTTTAAACAGTTTTTTTTCCCTCTAGTCATCAGCTGGGACTCAGGAGGCAGCAATAGATTGGGGGTGGGACCAAATAAAAGGTAAGAATAACGTGGGGGGGTGGGGGGAGAGGGCCGGGGTGGGGGGAGAACCGGTTCGGTGACGTCATATCGTCACCGCTACCGGCTCGGCCGAACCGGACCGAACCGGGAGGAACCCACCACTGGCCCAGGGTACCAGGCAAGATCTACAGTACCAGGAGCAGGTACACAGTGGGGCAGTGGTTAGAATGCCAGTATTGCAGGCTAACTCTGTCCACAGCCAGGAGTTCGATCCTGACTGGCTCAGGGTTGACTCAGCCTTCCATTCTCCCAAGGACAGTAAAATGAGGACTCAGAATGTTGGGGGCAATAGGCTGACTTTGTAAACCGCTCAGAGAGTACTATAAAACACTATATATAGCGGCATATAAGTCTGCTATTGCTATCTTGCCTTCCTGGTATTTTACCTGGAACTTGGGTGCAACTGCTCAGCCAAGCACTCTACTTGCCGTTTTGTTATCTAAATTACAGTCCCATCATTCAACCAAATTCAGCTTGCTTCTGCGTGATTGTTGGGTCTACACCCGGACACTCTCGCTCTGCTACAAACACACAGGCCACGGGGAGAACCAGAGGAGTGAACTGACTTGCCTAACTAGATTCAGCATCATGGTCTCAATCCTGGCTTGCCCAAGGTGTTCCGAGCTGCCTTCAGTGTGGTTATCAAGCAGGTTCTTCATGATCGCGATGGTCTGCTCCACAAACTGCGTATTGGTATCATTTAGCAAGACCTGCACAGGAGCGAAACATGCTGTTGGTAATACATTTTCACCATGTTTCCTTTCAAATTCTTCTAATTTTCTGCATTGCGTGTCAGCAATTTTTTCAGACCCTTGAGAAATTTCTGATAGCCCACCTATGCTGTCAAATCCCACACAGATATTTTGCAAGATTTGGACATCCCATATAATCTCAGTGGTTACCATATGTTAACTATAATATATACTTTAACTTCAGCTATAACTATAAATAGTATTTCAAGGAGCAATGACATCATCTAACAATGATAAAGGCATCATGTTTACACTTCTTTGGATGGAAAAATGACAAAGTGACAGATGTCTATGGAAATCCTTGGTCATCCAGGTCATGGTTGTCCCAAAGGTGCTTTTTCCAAACTTCTTGGATTAGAAACAAAACATCTTCAAGGAAAAGTGAAGTCCAGTTGCCTTTGGAAAAAGCATCATTGTGACAAAAAAATTGATAGCATCTTAATGAAGAAAGGCAAGGCAAAAATAAAAAAATCTAGATATTGAGGATGGAAAACCAGTTAGTAATTCTGGCCGAGTTCTGCTGAGGACAAACTATTTTCCAAAATTAATTTCCTACACAGAAATCTCCAAAATCAGCTAATTAACTAACCAACCAATCAATCAATCAATCAATCAATCAATCAATCAATCAGGGCGTCTGTTAAAAAAACTGACTCCAAGAGCAAAAGATGGGTTACCCAACCAGTTACCATGGCTGAAATTAGATCTGACTCTGAGTTATTTTGTTTCTAAGCACTACCTTTATTCCAATAGTCAATCTGATTTGTCTTCTAAATACAGGATTATGGTAAAAGGGAGGAATCTCAACTTACAACCACAATTGAGCCCAAAATACCATTCCTAAGCAAGGCAGTTGTTAATTGAATGTTGGCTCATTTTACAATGGCTTGCCATGGCTGCTAAGTGAATTACTGCAATTGTTAAATGAATCATGCGGTCATTAAGCAAATCAGGCTATCCCGTTCACTCTGCTTGTCAGAAGCCGTCTGGGAAGGTTACAAATGGCAATCACATGACCCTCCAGGACAGTGCAACCATCCTACATATATGCCAGTTGCCAAGCATCTGAATTTTGATCACATGACCATGGCGATGTTGCAATGGTCCTAAGCGTGAAAAACGTTCGTAAGTCACTTTTTTCAGTGCCATTGTAACTTTGAAGGTCACTAAACAAATGATTGTAAGTCGAGGACTACCTCTATGGTAGCTGCTCTGCCAAGACAGTTTAACTGAAACTGAGCTTTTACCTGTCCTTGTGAGTCGAAGAACTTGCTGATGATATTCTTCAATTTGTTGAAAAGCATTGGATAAAGGGCGGGGCTCAGCTCCAGGCCTATGAGGTCCTTAATGTTAGTCCGTATCTGCAGACCCACTTTCTCGTGGGTACAGACCATCAGGGACAACAAGCGATCCATGAACCTGCTCACAGGAGTCTCGGTGTTGCCGTCAGTCGACAGCATGGAGATCATGGAGCCTTTCCTCTCACTCACGGGGCCCATGGGGGGACTGTAGGATGGAAAGGGTGTGTTGCCGCGATACTGCAAGCACACCCCACCGAGGGCGCATAGAAAGCCGGTCATGTTGATCCACTCTTGCAAAGAGTCTGTGTCTGACAGATCAATGGAACCTCCACCGCTGACATGGGACATCCGCCTCTTGACTATCGTCTTGTGCAGACTTTCAGCAACCTGCAGAGAGTAGCATACAGGAAGGTGGCGTGAGGACAGCGGCCAGAATTTTATGAGCGCAAAAATGGAAAGATATGGAATTAAGGCAGGGGTGAAATGCTCCCGGTTCGGACCGGATCGCCCGATCCGGTAGCGATGGAGGCGGGTGGTTCGGAGAACCGGTAGCAAAAATCCCTGCCCCCCCCATGCCCAACTGAGCCACGCGATCATCAGAGGCTTTTTTTTTTTTTTACTTTTAAAAGCATTTTTTCTACAACCTCTTCGGCCGAAAAAATGCTTTTAAAAGCAAAAGAAAGCCTCTGATGATCGCGCGAGTCAGCTGGGATCATCAGAGGCTTTTAAAAGCATTTTTTCTACAACCTCTTCGGCCAAAGAGGTTATATATAAAAAAAATGCCTTTAAAAGCCTCTGAGGATCCCAGCTGAGTTGCCTGATCGTCAGAGGCTTTTAAAAGCATTTTTTCCTGCAACCTCTTAAGGTTGTAGAAAAAAATGCTTTTAAAAGTTAAAAAAAAAAAGGTGGCCATGCCCATCCAGTCACATTACCACCACCAAGCCACGCCCACAGAACCGGTAGTAACAAATTTTACATTTCACCATTGAATTAAGGAGAAACTTAACTGAGCCACCTGGAATTAAGGAGAAACTTCCTAACGGTGAGGACAATTAACCAATGGAACAGCTTCCCTTCGGAAATCGTGGGAGCTCCATCACTGAAGGTTTTTTAGAAGAGATTAGATAGTCACTTATCTGAAATGGTATAGATCCGTGATGGCGAACCTATGGCACGCGTACCACAGGTGGCACGCGGAGCCATATTAGTGGGCATGCTGGCTCAGCTCTGGGGCGCATGTGCGCGCCGGCCAACTGAATTTTAGGCCTTTTGGGCCCACCAGAAGTAGGGAAACAGGCTGTTTCCTGCCTCTGGAGGGCCTGGGGGGTGGGGAAGGCCCGTTTTTCTTTCTTACCTGGCTCCAGATCCTCTCTATTTATCTGGGAAGGGCGAAAACAGCCTTTCCCACTCCCTCGGAGGCCTGAAAGGCCCCATTTCCCAACTCCCAGTGGAACAGGAAGTGACGTTTTTGCTGTCCCCAGCCTCCAGAGACTCCTAGAGAGGCTCTGGAGGCTGGGGACAGCAAAAAATGTCACTTCCTGTCCCACCGGGAGTTGGGAAATGGGCCGCTTCAGGCCTTTGGAGGGCCTCCGAGGGAGTGGGAAAGGCTGTTTTTGCCCTTCCCAGATAAAGAGAGAGGATCGGGAACCAGGTAAGAAAGAAAAACGGGCCTACCAGGCCATCATGTGCCAGGAGCGGGGGGGAAGTTACACGTGCATGCGCGTGGGCACGTGCGTGCACGACCCGCCCCCGCCCCCCTCTCCTGGGACGCGATGGCAAAAAGGTTAGCCATCACTGGTATAGGTTCTCCTGCTTGAGCAGGGTGTTAGACTAGAAGACCCCCACGTCTTGGGGGTCTGTCCCTTCCAGCTCTATTCTATTCTATACGAGTTCTCACAATGGAACAATGGATGGAAAAAGCGATGGAGGTGGCAAAGCTAACTGTTTTAATTAAAGAGAACTTAGCCAGTTTTATTTTCATTTTGGAAACTACTTCATGCCCAAAACAGAAAACACAACTTTGATCTTAGGTGCAGCACAAGGAAACAACAGCCAAAGACATAATAGCCAACCATCAACACCCCAATCAAACAGTAAGAAGCCACACCCAACAAGACACCGCATAAATACGATGCAAACAGAATAGTCTAAAGCAGACATTCCAGCAGAAAGAATTTCCCTGACGATGGGCTCCAGCACGAGTCCAAAAGTTCAGAAGACTAAAAGACTTATCTATCTTAGTCTCCTTAGTCTCCCAATGGGTAGCAGAGTGTTTACTGGCTGCCAGAAGAAAAAAGCCCGAATAACCAAAGACCTACATGTATGTATGTATGTATGTATGTGTGTGTGTGTGTATGTGTGTGTGTGTGTGTATATATATATGTATATGTATATGTATATATGTATATGTATATGTATATGTATATGTATATGTATATATATGCATATTCTTTCTAGCCAGAAAAAATATGAAAACTAGAAAGAATATGCAAAATAAAAGCCTACAAAAAAGAAAGAAAAAGATACACACACACACACACACACACACAGGACTCCTGGAGAACAAGCAGCTGGCTCAAGGAAATGCTTATTCACTGCTCATCATTCTTTTGCTTTGGTTTTTTTTAAAATCCAGGCATAAATCATCTGTGGCTGTCACGATTATTATCCTGGGACACGTATATTTGCCTTCATTTGAAAAAGAGTTATTAGAAGAAATTGCACTCAAACAGAAATGGAACTTGCTTTCATTTCTTTCAAATGCAAAATGAAATGGAATTTTCTGGAGTAGCAACATAGAAAACTCTCTAATAATAGGAGTTGTAGCCCAACATTTCTAAAGGAAATGTTCCTCTAATGACCTTGGTCTTACCTGGCCATCTTCCATCTTAGTCTTTGGATAGTTGAGAATCAATTTTGTAGCCGCCTCCCATTTAAAATGTGTATCTTCCCAAGCCTACAACAAACCAGAAAAGATACTGGTTGATCACACAGCATAAACAAACCTAAGACAACAACTGCTGACTGACTTTTTTTCTAAGAAAAGGAAAAAGCCTACCTCAGTGTTACCTGCTGTTGGATGTTCGATACGCCTGAGTAGGGCCATCACTCTCTTCTGAAGAGCTGTTCTTCCTACAAAGTGATCCAGTCAGAAACTGAGAACATTTTCTCAAGATCTTTTCATTAACAGCAGAAGTGTCTTCTATAAAATAGGTACAGACTTCATTCGATAGTTAGGACTGCAGAAAAAACTGCCTTCCACTGAGGATTGTACGAACCAGAAAGAGGGCTGAGAAGATATCTACATACCCCTCATATTCTGGACATAAACTGTTTCAACTTCTCTCTTCAGGACGCCGCTATACAACATTGCATGACAAAACAACTAGACATAAAGACAGTTTTTTCCCCTCATACCGTCATTCTGCTGAACACTAATTCCCATAAAACATAACTGTTTTATGCCTAAGGATATTTACCCATGTAGTAGGGCTGTGTTGCTATTATCCTTCTTATCTTCCCTATTACTTACACCTATTGGTATCCCTTGACTATCACTTTGTTGGTTGTATCTTCTGATTTATGATTGAATCTCTGATTTATGATTTATCACTTCGTTGTTTGTATGTATACTGAGAGCTTCTGCACCGGAGAAAAATTCCTTGTGTGTCCAATCACACTTAGTCAATAAAGAAAATTCTACTCCTACTCCTACTCCTACTCCTATTCCTACTCCACTCTATTCTATTCCAACTCTACTCTATTTCTATTATTTCTATTTCTATATCTTATTCTATTCTATTCGATCCTTTGCTTTTTTAAAAAAGGCAAAATGGATCTAACATTCATACATATTGTACTATACATTTTAATACAGTGGTTAAAAATAAACTAATTGTAAAGAATTTCAGTTTCAAGGGTATAATTTATTCAGACTTTTCATTTTAAAGATGTGCAACTATATTTCTCAGAAATCTCATTTATGAGCACTCCATCAACTAATCAACTATTTGCCAATATAGGTAAACCTTGAGTTACCACCACTAGGGAGTCTGCCTATCATGGTCATAACTCGTGTCAGTTGTAATTTGGGTCACCCACATAACCAACCTGATCTTACAACCTTTTCTGAGGTGGTCATTAAGCAAATTGCCAGTCATTAAATAAATCATCCTGGTTATTTATCAAATTTATGGTCATTAAGCAAATATTGTGGTTGTAAAGCGAACCAACGGTTCACTATAGGCAGAGTTTTGCCGACCACTGGAAGTAAATGCTGTTTTTTAGCAAAACTTTTGTGAACCTCAGTGACATGAGCATACGGCAAACAGCCATAAATGCATCCCAGTTGTTGAATGCCCAAAGTACAGTTATGTAACTGCAGGGGGGAAACCATCAGAATTTCGAATCTGAATCTTAAAATATCCCCATAATTTTGAATGGTCGCTGAGCGACTGCTCGTAAGTCAAGCACTACTTATATGAAATAAGCTCTTGTATTATCACAACTGCGGTCACTCAGACCAAGTCCCCATTCTGAAAGCGTGCTTTTGAGTTTGTAAGTCGTCAATGTTACATGGAAACCGAAGCAACAGGCATCAAGATACACAAACCTGTAACTCACCTGTGACTCCAGTTGCAAAGGATTAAGAATTTAAAGACGCGTCCGACGTTTATCTACTGAAAATATGGTGAATATACTGAAATCTCTTGTGTTTAACATTTTAGGTTTATGCGTATCTTACCTGTAGACATCATATTGCTCACAGAAGCAAACTCCATAAAGGTATTATAGTTGGGCAAGAAGTTGTGAACTGACACCTCATCTACTCCACACCTGATATCTGCTTCCTCACAGAGATGTCGGAAACAGGACATTGCCACAAGCACTGCCTCGATGTCAGGGCTCCAGAGAGACATATACAAGGCAACCTCCAACTTGGTTTGGGCTTGGCGACATATTGGTGTCCCACTGCAACCGACAGTGCTTTCCTTTGGAGACAAAACATTGGGAAAGTTAGTTGCTAGTTGTCCTTGCAGTAGTCATTTTTCACGTACAGTATTTCAAAGCCTAATATACCGTGTCTTATATTTTTTTGAACCCCGAAATAAGTGCTTGGTCTTATTTTTGAGGAGGTCTTGTTATTTTGGGGCACGTGGAGCAAGACGGGGCTCCTCTTGCCATTTTACCTGATTTCCAGCTCTGTCTCCCTAACCCTAACCAGAGAAAATGGTAGGGACCGGCTGCGCGTGCGTTTAAATATTTTCGGGAAGGGCTTATTTTCAGGGGGGGGACTTATTTTAGCGCATGCACTCAAAAGCCCGATTGGGCTTATTATCAGGGGATGTCTTATTTTAGGGGAAACAGGGTAGTTCAGTCAGTGTTACAAGGACACTGAAAAAGTTAACTTACAACTGGTCCTCCCACTTATGACCATCACAGCGTATTCATGGTCACATGATCAAACTGAGGACCCAGTTTGTGGGGGCAATAAGCTGACTTTGTATAAATATACAAAAGTATGAAGGCTATTGCTTAACGCACTGTAAGCCGCCCTGAATCTCCGGAGAAGGGCGGCATATAAATCAATTAAAAAAAAAAAATGTGGACACTTGACAACTTTTTTCAGCAAGCCGGGCTGGCTTAACTTTTTTCTTAATTTTTTAAATGTTTTAAATGGGTTTGTTATTGTTCTTAAATTATGGGGCCAAATTTATATATATTCTTTTAATACTATTTTAATGTTTGTAATTTATGTTTTTATTCGGCTGTACACCGCCCTGAGTCCTCAGGGAGAAGGGCGGTATATAAATTGGATATAAAATAAAAATAAAAATAAAAATAAAACCGATAGGCATTTATGAAGGTTGCAGCATCCCAGGGTCATGTGTTTGCCATTTCCAACCTTCCCAGTCAGCTTCTGACAATCGAAGTCAATTGCGGAGGGGGGGGAACCTGATTCCCTTAACAACCATATGATTTACTTGACAACTGCAGTAACTTGCTTAACAACCATGACAGAAAAAGGTCGTTAAATTGGTTGTGGTTGACTTAACAACCATCTTGCTTACCAACAGAAATTCTGATTTCCGATTGTGATCATAAGTCAAGGGTTACCATTTTCTACCACATTAGATACCGAGAAGTCATGGTGTCCAAAATAGGGTTTTATCACAAATTCACTGGACCAAAAGGAAGCCTCTTTAATGGAAGAGACCAAGAAGCAGAGTAGTTTTTTTTTTTCCTTTGGATAATTCCCCATTCCCCTGCCTGGTTGTCTGCAGAGGTTGGGATTGCATATTTGGTCAGAAATTGATTTGAGAAGTTAAGCAAGGTTTTGTTCTGACCTAGGCTTCCTTAGAAAGTATAAAGCACAATCTTAGTCCCATAAAACCTCTTTTATTTATATAACTGTAAGTTACTTTCATTTATAGTCCACAAGGCTTGATAAACAGTCTTTCAGAGGAAGGTGATCAACACCCACCTATCTCACGTGCAACGCTGCCAGAGAGCTAATTTCCAGATGCAGGGCAAGGCCAAACTTGGCACAGAGCCACAAACAGGATTTTCAAATCTTGAATTGGCCAGATGAACTAACTGCTTCCTGCAAAAGCTCACGTCCTGTTCACTCTTCTTTTATGTCTTATGGGAGGGGCCAATCATCTCCAAGCCTTACTCCTAAGTCGACCCTGTTTTCCTAATTGTTCTTGTCGTCTGGCAGCTCTGCGCATGCGCACACTGGGAACAGGCTCCCGCTGTTCTTTTGCCTCGCTGCTGTCAGACTCTGGAGGCTGCACATAATTATCAGATAGCCTTGGCCCCCTCTCTGCCTCTGATGCAGAGCCCTCGTCTGAGCTTTCCCCAGCCCCCAGGACTGGTCCAAGTTCCTCCCCAACCTCCTCACTGTCCAACTCTGCTGCCAGCTCTGCTGGCCACCGGTGGGCCACAACAGGTTTGTTAAACATTAGTCTTTGGAGATGCCACTCCTTGGGAATTTCAAAGCAGTTGTCTATACAGGTAGTCCTTGACTTACAACCATAACTGAGCCTAACATGTCTGTTACTAAGCGAGATAGTTGTTAAGAGAGTTTTGCCCCATTTTATAACCATTGATGCCATAGTTAAGTAAATCATTGCAGCTGTTAAGTTAGTAACACTATTCTTAAGTAAATCTGGTTTCCCCTCCTAGTATAATTCATTGAACAAGCTACCAAGACTGGATTCAGTCAAAAAAGCATCACACAGAAAAAAATCCAGACTGAACAGGAAGATTTTTATATTCTAACCATAATCTTAAAAATCACAGGGTGTGTGAGATAAATCCAGAACTTTCTAGTCAGGCATATGTTTCAAGGTGACATTTTTCGTCACACACCACGCAGCCAGCTACCGGTGACACTAAAGACAGCCACTTCCTGTCTCAGCAACCTCTGAAAGGACAAGAAGAACTTCTGCAGCAAAGGCCCAAGGTCATAAATTAGAATTAAGGCATAGAGTAATGACACTGCATTTATGGATACCAGACCATTCCCTGTAACACTAAAAGTCACCCACCCTTTAGAAATTTAAATTAAATCAAACTACATTGGCCAACAGTTCAGAAGACTAAGGGAGGCTCAGTCTATCTCATTGTACACATGTTGTACATTGACAATAAAGGTTTGAAATTTGAAATTTGAGGTGTTTTTTTCACATAAGGTTTCATGAGGCTACTGAGAAACAATCTCTTGAGTGGAGGAAGAAGGGATCAAGTCAAAAAAGATTACCAGTTCCTAAATGGGCATAATCTGAGCACACGGACATGCAGGCAGAAAAAGAAAGCTCAGGCACAAGAAGTTCAGCTTATAATGCCACATACAGGTTAGTCCTCGACTTACAAGAGTTTGCTTAGTGACCATTCAAAGTTACATAGGCACTGAAAAAAGTGACTTATGACCACTTTTCACATTGATGACCGTTACAGCACCCCCATGGTCGCATGATCGAAATTCAGACACTTGGCAACTGATTCATATTTATGACATTTGCCCTGTCCTGGGATCATGCGATCACCTTTTGCCACTTTCTGATAAACCAAGTCAATGGGGAAGCCAGATTCGCTTAACAACCCTGTTAACTAACTTAACAACTGCAATGATTGACAAAACAATGGCGAGAAAGATCGTAAACCTCTTTCTGGCTACAGTTTTAAGGCAAAATTCACTTGACAACTGTCTCACTTAGCAACAGAAATTTTTGGGCTCTATTGTGGTCATAGGTCAAGGATTGACTGTAGCCCACGCAAGAAATTTTAGGGATAGCATTCCATGGGGCCCTTTACTCACCATGCAGAAACTCCCTTTGCCCTTCCTGAGCGGAGCTCCCGGGATACAACGCATCATCTCTTCATGGTCAAGAGAAATTTGATTAGCTCCACCCCCTGAGACATCACATCCTACCCCGTAAAGGAAGAGAAAAGGGCAGGAACTTCTATCTGCTTGCTACAAAGAGAAGGAAGAAGAATTGAAAAGTCAGCCAACTTTTGAAAGGAGCGAAAAATATCAACGAAAAATGGGAGAAAGGTAAACGGTGGCCCTACAGTTATGAAAGGAGAGAAAACACTTTGCAATGTGAGTCAAAGCAATATGAACGACACTTGACGAATTGATTTTTTTTCCCCTTCTTCTTCACAAAAGAGGAGTCCTCAAATGAGAGGATTGGAAATTTAACACCCACATAAGGGACTCTTTTTCAGGGAACTGGTTCATGTATCTTTTGAGAAAAGCTCATACTTGCTGTAATTCTGTGGTAGTCATTTCATACCATCTGAAACAAATCTGCTACCAATCCTCTGTGCTTGCATGCAATACACGTAGTCCTCGAGTTACAGCTGTATTTGAGCCCAGAATGACGGTTGTAAGTTGTGCTGGTTATTCGGCAGATCACCACATGACTGTGCCTGATTTTATTACTATTTTTGCAGCAGTTATTAGGTGAACACCACCCCTATTTTACCTACACAGAGGAGGCTGAGAAATGCTAACTGGTCCAGGGTTGACCTTTACTCTCCTAATAGGGATCTGAGCTGTTCAAAGCTGAAATTCCTCCCCATAAAATCAAACTGGTCCCTGATACCATCTGCAAAATGCTTTCTCCTTGGGTGACCAATTCCTAAAACAAGAGCTATCCATAAGGTGTTTTTGAAAAGGCAACTGGACTTCCTTGGGTTTTTCCCTGGAAAACATTTTGTTTCTTACCCAAGAGGTTTCTTCCGTTTCTTCTTCTGAACTGAAGAAGCTTATTGGATAAGAAGTGAAACATTTTCAAGGCAAAAAACCAAGAAAATCCAGTTGCCTTTTGAGAAGCACCTTTGGGACAACCATGACCTGGATCATTTCCATAGACGACTAACCCAAGAGCTGTTCACCTGAAGAATTATATATGAAATCCTTATAGAAGTGCTGAATTAAATGTGTAAATGTCCAACAGGATCCTACACTAATAGATAAATACTGTGCTTTGGTACATGGGATTACTCAAAATTCAAACTCCCCAAGCAGATGTAGACGAGATAAACAGTAGCAATATCTTGAGCAACAAAAGAAATAAAAGATTTTAGGAAAGGTTTACATTTTCTTGCCAAGGAGATAAAATTTAGTTCACAAAGTTAAGAAAACTGTTATGATACATTTTCACCAGGGGTGAAATGCTCCAAATTCTGCTACCGGTTCGCTTCGCTATCGGTTCGCTTCACGCACGCATGCACAGTGCGCACCAAATGCGTGCTTTGCACGCAAGCGCTACTGCGCAGCACTGAAAAAGGAGAATTAAGAAGCATTTTCTGAGTCTTCAAAGGTAAGAAGAACAGTGAGGGGGGGCAGAGAACAGCTGTGCCGTGTGATTTAGATTGGCTAGAAAGCAGGATTTCCTGCTTTCTAGCAAATATAAATCGGGCCACACAGCTGATCGTCGGAAATACCTGTTTGCCCAAACCAATAGCTTTTTTTTTTTTACTACTGGTTTGCCCGAATCGGTAGCATTTATTACTACCGGTTTGGCAAACCGGTCCAAACCGGTAGCATTTCACCACTGATTTTCACTTCCTTTACTGAGCAAGAATGTTACAAATAGCTGGAGCTAGTCAAATTTTCTTTCCATGAGCTTCCAAGTTTCCAATAAATAGAGCAAGCCAGCAACAACAAGCCCTAACTTCAAGGCTCTCTGAGATTTAGGCCTTCACTTACTTTGTTTTTCAGAAGAAATTTGTTCCTGCAGATCAAAATCTCTCGCAACCATTTGAGGATTTCCGTGCTGCTGAGAATCTGATTGCTCGTTAGTCTCTTGCATATACAAAATAGCATCTGTGAACTTCAGGAACATGCAAATAAGAAAATAGCCACAATCAGTTATCAATCAGAGCATGCTGTACTGTCCAAGGCAACATTTTAAGGAAGTTGTTCACTGCAATAGTCATGACATTTACAATTTCTCCAATTCTGCACACTGTTGTCTGCCTCCCCTCCAAATTCCACAAACTGCAAGACTACCCCAGGAGAAAACACTTAATTTGCTCAATCCTTTTTTGCAGTCTCAAAGTCGGGGCTCATAGTTCTGAGTAGAAAATGATAAGATCTTCGCAAATCTATAAATGTTTATACAAAACACTAGAAGGAAGCCGTTTCACCCATAATTTACACCAACGTGTCAAGGGTTGTTTCTGATAAGTTTAAGAGGTGAAAGCACAAAACACATCCCTTACAAGCTTTGAAAGACATCCTCAATTCTTTGTTCTTATGAAAAATTGGCAGGAGTAGCCATTAGATAAATATTGGGTGCATGTAATTTTGCATATTTTTAATCTCAAAAACATCCTTGTCAGCACCTTAAGAACGTGAGAAGAAAAGGAAAAGGAAGAGAGGGAGGGAAAGGTAACAGAGGTACTCCCTATTTTTCTTCTACAAGTTTGGAGTTCTGGTGAATCCACATTTGTAACCCTTTTGAAAATTAATTTCACTTGTTAAAAGAAAGGAAATACAAAAGAAAAGTCTACAAAATATGTTATTTTGGTTAAAAGAAAATAAACACAACCCTGATCCCCAATTAGCATTAAAGCATTCCATGTAATATATAAATACCTACATGAAATTAATTCAGTTGCTAAGCTTGACGTTAAATCTATACTATAGCAACGTACTTTGGCATCTTTTCATTTTTAGAACATAAAGATTTTTCAGAAATAGGTAACCTGCAGAGCAATACATAGCTGTCCTCATAATAGTGCTGTGTAGTACCCTGTTTCCCCCAAAATAAGACATCCCCTGATAATAATGTCAGCTGACGGCCCCCAGGAGGAGAGCCTTCTCTGTGGGGGCACCTACTATCTGGAACGAGCTCCCCCCGGAGATACAGAGGATCCCGGATCTAGGCACCTTCCACCGCGCTCTCAAGACCTTTTTATTTCACCAGGCTGGTCTGGCCTAACCTTTCCCATTCTCTTTTTAATGTAAATTTTAATGTAAATTTTAATTTGTTCTTAACCTGCGGTTTTAAATTTGTCTTGGGCTAAATTGATTTAATTCGATTTTACTTCTGTTCTTAAATTTTTGTATTCTATGTGTTTTATCCTGTGCCCGTTCACCGCCCTGAGTCCTTCGGGAGTAAGGCGGTATACAAATTAAATGAAAATTTTTTTTTAAAAAAATTAAGCCCAATCAGGCTTTTGAGCACGTGGCAATAAGGCCAAGTGCTTATTTCAGGGTTCAAAAAAATATAAGACAGGGTCTTATTTTCGGGGAAACAAGGTATTGCAACCCACACTCCCCCCAGATCTAAGATGAGCACTCCACCGACAGAAAAGTATAATGAAGACCACTACAACTGGTACAAAATTTTGATGGGTTTTAGAAAAGGAAAAAGAATCAGTGGTGAGTCTGAACTGACCTGATTTCCCAGAATGTTTCGATGGGTGCATCAGGATTCCACAAGTCAATGCTGTCTAATTGATGAAGCACAAGCAAAGCCTGGAGGCATAAACATACACAAAGAATCTGCATGAACATAACATAATCCTGAACGGAAGATTTCTGTATCATGGGAATAAAAAGATTAAACCATCCTTCTTGTCTTGCCTTCAGGTGCTTTGGAGAATAGGTTGACCCCCTCTTCTTTGTGGTAATCTCTGAGAAATCAGAATACTGCTATCATGTCACCCCCTAGTCCTTCTCTTCACTATTCCAGTTCCTGCAACCGTTCTTCATATGTTTTACCCTCCAGTCCCCTAATTATCTTTGTTGCTCTTCTCTGCACTCTTTCTAGAGTCTCCACATCTTTTTTACATCATGGTGACCAAAACCGGATGCAGTATTCCAAGTGTGGTCTTACACTGTAAATACCTATTCAGTTTCCTTACCTCCATGGCCTCTTGTGCTATTTCTGGCATGCTGGCCTGTGGAACAAGCTGGACAAGGCCTGTTATGAGCTCAGCTGTGCTGCCTTGTGTGTCAGGCCCCTGTTTCTTTGGATTCTGTATGAAAAGACAAAGTTGCTGAAGCATTTGTTCATCAGTGAGAATTGCCCCCTGGATTCTACAAACATGAAAAGAGCTACACAAAATACAGCCAAATTGGTTGAATTGGTTTTGCATGAGGTTTGTGATTAGTAGGAATCTCTTCAGATACTGTGACTTAAAAACGTTTTAATTCAATATAGTCTACTGCTGAAACTTAAGTCACTGGAAATCAGAAAAATTAGATGGCTCGAATGTAAAGACTAGGAACAGATCTCAGGATCTATATGGAATTGTTGCTGGGATGCTACATCAGTATGCACCCACAAATTAAAAGAAGTGTTACAAATCAAAAGGCAAGTGTTACATGTTTTGTAACCTCCACTTCTGGAATACATATTTGTTCCTTTTGAATTTTTTTGAATCTGGATTTTTTTTTTTTTTTTTTTTGAGTCTGTGAGTCTTTGCCACCAACTGTTTTAAGAACTTTGTGTGGATCTATAAAAGGAGCTGGAAGAAATTGGTAGGAATAAAGTTGATGAATAAACATGTATGAAGTAGCTTAGGTTCAATAGATGATTGTACCATTTTCAGCTGCAATAACTCTGTCCTGCAACTGTAGATCCGTAGGGAAATACACAAAACAAAAAGACATTTTGTCCAGTTCTAAAACAAACCATCCTCTTCCAGATCTTTTCCCCAGACTCACTTTCCATGAGATGAGTGGCAGTATAACATGGATTGATTAATTTCAGATGAGCTGCAGAAGCTAAAACCCAGAATTTTTGGGTTGTTCTAGATTTCAGCTGAAACAAAATCTGGAAAGATCCTGGAGCAAGGAGGGGAGGGCTACGTTGGTGCATGTCACCTTTTCTTTCCTGTCTTATTTTGCAAAGTTTGGGCCCAGACTACCTGTGTTCCAACCAGTCCAGCACCTTCCCTTCCCTCCCTCTCTTCCCTGCTTCCCCTCAGCAGCTCTTCTGCAGCATAGCATATTCCACTATCATACCCACGGCCTAATGTCAATGCTTTCCTTTCAATTTCTGCCCCTCAAGGTGATTCTCACGACCCATTACAATTTTCACTAACCAACATGATGTTCTGTCCCTAACCCCACGCACACACACCAACAGACGTTCAGGAGTTAAAGACCAAACCAGCCGGCAAAATCCTTTTCCTTATGATAACGGAACTTGGCAACAACCTAGTGGCTGCCTGCCAAGAGTTTATTATTTACAAAGAGGAGAGATAACTTCTCCCCACTTCTGATACATCAAAGGAAAGCAGCTCAATAATTACAATCAAGTCCAGAGATAATCCATTCTTAAAGCAAAAGTCCGGCAATGCAGAATGGCGTGGAAGCTTTCAGCTTTGTTCGTCACAAGGTTTGACTGGCCACCACGCTGCCTTTTATATCCTGTGGGGTGTGGTCCAGTGACTCAGCCTAATCTCGGGCACGCCCTTTCTTCTGTTGCGCGCGCTTATCTCTGCGACGCTGGTGTGGGTCCAGCCAAGACTCATTACCCTCATCACTGTCCATCTATGGCTGCGTGGACGTGCTTGGCCCAGGCCCTATCTCTTGCCCTTCGGCGGACACCGAAGGCATTGCCAGAGAGGAGGGTCCTGGAGAGGGAGGCCTTGCCAAATCCTCCCCTTCACTCTCGGAGTCCTCTCCTGACGATGACACAGGCTCCGGTAACGGAGCCACAACACATACATAGCTTCTCTAGGCGGGGTTCAAAAAAATTTAAACTTCTCCATTAATTTGTATAATTTTTTTCAATTGTTACTGTTTTTCTAATTGTTCCAAGGGTCAAGGCTATTTTTATTCAGCACTTTCTGGATTTTGCATATTTCCCAGATCAGGTAGCAACAAATATCACTCTAAAATAGTCATCAGGTTTTAAAAGTCCTTTAGCTGTTTTAATTTCTGCATGTTACATTATGTTTATAGAAATGTATAATTTTGGCTGAGGGACTTTTTTTAAAAAAAAAGCAATTTACAATTTTTTTTTAAAAAAATGGATTTTCACTTACATAGAGTAAGAGTTTTGGGTCAGCATGGATCAGTTTTACAATAGATAACAACAAAACTTTATAACTTCTGGTTTCAACATCTGTAGGTTTTTCTTTGAACTTCAGGCTTGTCATTTTCTCTTTAAATGTAAGACTCTAAGAAAAATAAAACCATTAACAACGTAATAAATATTCCAAACATGGAGCTTGTTTCAAACAGCAGTATATCAGTTATTGCAGTGGTGGGTTTCTACTGGTTTGTCCCGGTTCGTGCGAACCAGTAGTGGCGGTGGCAGGAGGCTCCACCCACCCACCCGGACGTCATCTCGGACACTCTGTGCATGCAGAAGCGCTGCGTGCGAGCGAAGCAAGCACACATGCGCGCTCCCGGTTCCAAACCGGAAGCAAAGGTAAGAGGAACCCACTAATGAATTATTGGTTGTAACACAGTGTTTCTCAACCTTGGTAGCTTGAAGATGGGTGGACTTCCAACTCCCAGAATCCCCCAGCCAGCAGCGCTGGCTGGGGGATTCTGGGAGTTGAAGTCCACCCATCTTCAAGCTTCCAAGGTTGAGAAACACTGTTCTAACACATCTATTGCTGAAATATGAGTTGTACAGCTGATTTTTTTTTTAAATCAGTCTCTTTTTCATTAGTCTTGAATTGGAATTTCCATTGAGTCTTCCATTATGATGCAATAATCTCTTTAACTCATCCCTTTCATTACTGAAGAGAAGGATTCTGAGGTCACCTGAACAGGCTGAAAACGACAAGCCAGTCTGCAGCTAAACTAACAAAGGCACGTAGTATGAAAAATTATTGTATGAGAAACAAGGAGGAAACTAGCAGAGACTCACAAATGGAAAGGGCCATTGAGACTACTGTATCGTATCAACCTGCTCAATGCAGAAATTAAAATGTATCAAAAAGATTGAGAAAGGAAGACCCACCAGTGTCTAGAAACCAAGTTCCACTGCTCTGTTGTTTTTATTTGCTAAGACTTCTAAGATTAAATCAGTGTTTTCTAACTTTGAGAATTTCCAGGAATGTGGACTTTCTCATCCACGATCATGCTGGCTGTGGAATTCTGGGAGTTTTTTTTTTTTTAATTTGATTTATATGCCGCCCTTCTCCGGAGACTCAGGGCGGCTTACAATGCGTTAAGCAATAGCCTTTATACTTTTGTATATTTTATACAAAGTCAGCTTATTGCCCCCACAAACTGGTTCCTCAATTTACCCACCTTAGAAAGGATGGAAGGCTGAGTCGACCTTGAGCCTGGTGAGAATTGAACTCACAGTAATTGCAGGCAGCTGGATGTTAAATGCTGCCTTAGTAGGAGGCATTAGCCTCCTAAGCCACTCAGGCTCCTGAGTTGAAGTCCGCTCCTGAAAATTCCCATGGTTAGAAAATCCTGCCTTATAGTTTAATCCCTCGTAGGTTACCAAAGTGCCTAGAAAATATTCATGCCGGTCTGACAGTCATGGGATATTTGGCTTCTCTTGGGTTTTCTTGCCTATGATCTGAGAATACCACCACCACTACATGCTAAGTTCTTTCCCCTTGGGTTTTACATTGGAAAGATCACTAGGGGAAAAAAGGGGAGAAGCTTTTTTTTAAAGGTCACCAAATGGGTACCACTGGATGCAACATTAGAACATCAAAACTGGAACAAGGGCATTTCCCCAAGATTCTGTACCAACTAATTAACAAAAAGCAAGGCCTCACCGGGGTCATACGGATTGGGGTATGCACACCAGAGCCCTGTAAAGCTTTATGGAGAGTTTCGCTGAACATGCTGCGGAGTTCCACGGAGTGACAATAGACAGCATCTATCTTGGGCCACCAGTCTAGTGCAGACTAGATGAAGAAGACGACAAAATATTAGCAGAGATCAGAGAACACAACGATTCCAAAGGAAACACAGTCTCGCAAGGAATTCACAGTGAAGTGGCCCATGTATGACTATGCCACTGCTTCCAGCAGGTTTCCTAAAGCAGGTCACAATGGTTTTGATGGTGACATCACCTTGCATCACAGATATCATAAGGAGGTATGGTGGCTCAGTGGCTTAAAGACACTGGAGATGGTCTTTGCTCCAGCAGTTAAAGTCCTAGCACCGGGTGGCAGAGTGAGCTCCTGTCACGTGCCTTAGCTTCTGCCCACCTAGCAGTTCGAAAGCATGCTACGTGCAAGTAGATAAATAGGTAACACTTCAGTGGGAAAATAATGGTGTTTCGTACAGTAGAATGAATCCAGCTGGTGCTGGATCTTCTCCAATGCGACGCCCGAGAATGAGGCGACATCAGTAGAGGGAGAAGCCCAGATCATGCTGCAGAATGCCGTTGAAGCTTTCTGAATGTGGCAATAGTTTGCCCCCTGTGCTGCACTCTAGATAAGGCTTCAGTGTGAACCGAATGGACTAGCAATTGTCGGCCGCCAAACAACTATTTTGTACTAACCCAGTAATCTGGTTAATATAACATCACCATATGCTAAATAAATAAATAACAGATATCATAGGTGATATCCTGCCTCTTTCTCTGCCCGATGATAGAGTTTACCAGTCCTCTAACACCTTCCTCCTCTGACAAAAAGGATGCAGCTAAGAATAAATTTAGAAAGAGGGGTCAGAATGGATAAATTATTCTATTTGTGGCATACTAAAGCCTTTAAAGATCAACATGCTGGCTCAGACAAACTTGATGTATAACTCCTATCTTCCTCACTCCCATCTTTTTCTTTTTCTTTTTTTCTATTTCTTTCCTTCCTTCCTTCCCTTCCCTTCCTTTTTTTAAATATGGAACGCTTCACGAATTTGTGTGTCATCCTTGAGCAGGGGCCATGCTACTCTTCTATGTATTGATCCAATTTTAGTATATCCGCTGCCGAAGTGAGCACTCCCATCTTTCTTTCTTGTTAGATTGTTACTAACTTGGGAAATTACCCAGGGGTTATAATGACTTAAAAACTTACATTTGTAATTATACGGTGGAGTGAATTTACCAGCACATAATGAAACGTGGATGGGGAATTCTGTGCCAGGCAAGTCTAGAAAAGACAAGGGGGTGGGGTTAAGTTTCCTTCAGAAACAAACCTGGAAATCCAAAGTACAAACCCACCAGCAACATCTCCACCGCAAGCCAATGAGCAAGACCAGGACAAGGGGGCACCACTGTGAGGCATGAACAAAGACCCACCTACAAGGCAGGGATTTCATCAACATTTCATCAAAATTTTCAAAACAACAAACCCTGGGCCACAGAGTTCTTGATTCTTCTTGAATCTTGGCCATTTGACTCATCTGTCCAATCCCATGCTCAGGACCAACTTTAGCTAGGGAGAGGGGACCCAAGGAGGCACATCCTTACCTTGAAGTGTTGATTATTGTGGGGGTTGATTCGGAAGCAGGACACTAAGCAGTCGATCATGAGATCTATGTCTGCGTTCTGGTTGCCTCTGGAGAAAGGCTTGCTAGGATTGAAGAGCAGGTTCTTTAAGACAACAAACACAGGTCGTGGTTATTAAGATCACCATTAGGCAATGTTGGAAGAGACGAGGAACCTACGAAAGGTGGTTGAGCAAAGACTGTGACAATTCCCTTGTAGGCGAAAGTAGGAAAAATAATATAGCCACCATACTGGTTTAAGCCAAAAATCCATTTATCTCATGGACGTCCTAAAGGTGCTTTTTCAAAAGTCAACTGGACTTTGTTTTTTCCTGAAGATGTTTCGCTTCTTATCCAAGAAGCTTCTTCAGTCTGAAACTTTTTGGATCAGAAGTGAAATGTCTTCAAAGAAAAACAAAGTCCAGCTGCCTTCTGAAAAAGCACCTTTGGGACAACCATGTCCTGGATGACTGAGAATCTCTACAGACATTTATCTCATGGACAGTCACATGTCATCCCAGGTGCAAAAACAGGCAACCATAGGATAATCCACACAATGGTTCTAAAACTCTTTGAAATTTACTTCCCCATCCAGCCTTTTCTTGAACCAGTTGGTTAAGAGCCGTGGTTTAAAGCACCCTGTTATTAACACAGCTGCCTGCAATTTACTGCTGGTTCGAATCTCTCCAAGGCTCAAGGTTGACTCAGCCTTCCATCCTTTCTAAGGTAGGTTAAATGAGGACCCAGTTTGTGGGGGCAATAAGCTGACTTTGTATAAATATACAAAAATATGAAGGCTATTGCTGAATGCACTGTAAGCCGCCCTGAGTCTCCGGAGAAGGGCGGCATATAAATCAAATTAAAAAAAAAAAAAAAGAGTGAGGTTTTTTCCAATAGAAAAGGCAGGACTTTCATAAGGTGAAGCAATGGCTGTTAACTACCATTAATCTACTTTGACACAATACCAAGCCAGGATCTGACAAGCTGCCCACAAGGAATCATTAAAGGTTCAGTGTTCAAAATCTCACACATACAAAGCAGTGTATAATTTACCTTGAGATCTACTACCATGGACTGCACTAGAAGAAAAATGACTGAATTGTCTTCCCAACTGATGTATGTTGACGCTTTGCACAATTTTACACAAGCGATGGCGGCACTTTCGGTTAGCTGCCTACTTCCGCTGTGGCCCGCCAGCGCCTTCCTGAGGTTGTCCAAGAATTGTTTCTGTAGTGTCCAAAACATATCAACGAGAAAATAAGTTAAAATTGTATCTAAGTCCAAATTTCATAGCAAACACTGTTCTGCCTGAAGATCACCATTTATTTGTCAAGTGCGGGAAATCAGGAGTCCAGGCAGTTCAAATGAATATAAAGATTTATTGTAAACTCTCTACAAGAATCTGAACTACTAACTGTCAAAATAAATTGGCGGTAGATAAAAGTATATGGAATTCAAGTTGGGCTGAACTTAGATCTCTTGTGGGTGCCAAGGGACTCAAGACTGATGACGCATTTGACCCCACCCTCAGGCTTCGCCTTGTCATCTCCTACACTACTGATAGAAAAAATATTTTTGTTAAGGTTAAGATTCTAACATATTCTGAGTCCAAACCACTTTTGGAGTGCAAAACTATTTTTGCAGTGTTATACTCCAGTAGGAAAAGTAAAATTTGGGGGCAGAGGGTTAAATGCTAATAATATCTAATCATATTAGATGATTAGATTAGTTTGTTCACGAGCCGAGGTGGCGCAGTGATTAGAATGCAGTACTACAGGGCTAACTCACTGCTCACTCCAGGAGTTTGATTCTGATCGGCTCAAGCTTGATTCAGCCTTCCAACCTTCTGAGGTTGGTAAAATGAGGACCCAGATTGTTGGGGGCAAGATGCTGACTCTGTAAACCACAGAGAGGGCTGTAAAAGCACTGTGAAGCAGCATGTAAGTCTAAACGCTATTGCTATATCACTTAGATTTGTGAAAGAAAGTGGGCTAGAAATCCTTCATAGAAAATAATCCTGCACATAAAAAAACCTTAGCATGTTAAAAAGATGGACTGCTCACCAACATATAGTACACGTAGTTCTCACTTAGTAACTATTCTAAGTTACAATGGATCCGCACCTCCATCCCAAAAGCTACTTATGACCTCGTTCTGGAGTTCCCACAGTTGCTTACGGCCCCACAGTCACATTTTGGGGCCTGGCAACCGGCTCATCTTTATGGCCAGTTGCAGCGTTCCTTGGTCATGACTGCAACTTACTTTTCTTTTTCTTTCTTTTTTGCCAGTTGAATCCATTGAAATACATGGATTCACTTAACAATCATATTGTTTGCTCAATGATCATGACATCTGCTTAATGAGCACTGCAAAAAAAGTTGTAAAATCGGATCCAGTCATGTAGGTTCCTCGACTTACGATCGTCATGACTTACAACAGAAATACCTGACTCTGTTATAGTCGTAAGTCAAAGGCTACCTAAATGCACTCATGAATGGCATGTTTTGGATATGGCTTTAATTAAAAATCAGACATCTCTGGTTGTTTTTTAATGTTGCCAAAGTTCTCTTTTTTTTTCAACTATTATTTGTTTACTGAGGTTAAGCAGGGAAGAAAAAAGAGATGGGATGGAAAACAATATATTGAGTACAAATGAAAAAAATATACACCATACCTACACCATGTAAAGAAATAAAGCTCACAAATAAGGATGCATAGGGAAAACTATTTTAAAAAATCTTAACAAATGTTGGTGTGGTTAACCATGAAAGGAACAGGGCAAAAGAATCAAATTGCCCCAACCCTGCTGGCCTTTTCACAAGGATCTGAAAACTTGGTTCTTGCCAAGGGACGTAGGGACAAAGGAATGAGATTGAGCCACATCAGTGACAATACTATTATTGGTGGATGTAATTACTTGAGTGTTTTAGGTATTTTATTATAGTTTTATATGTCTTTTTATGTTATCTGTTCTATGTTTTTAGACTACTGCATTGGTTGGCAGGCAGGCAGGCAGGCAGGCAGGCAGGAAGGAAGGAAGGAAGGGGAAGAAAAGGCAAGCAGTCTAAATGAATGCTTCCCAATGTTCGGCATGCTTTTTATAACTAGTCTTGAGAGATAGAAAGACTAAAAAGATAGATAGTAGTGCAGAAAACAGTGCAGAAAAAAACAGAAGTACAAAAAAGAAAATGACTTCCAACTTCTTTCACAAAAAAGATAACGCTTAATTTCAACCCTTAATTTAGGATTATACTAAAGTATCCGTTTTACAAATGGTCAACAGCTTTCATAGGTCATCCAATCCGCATGTTTGGTTCTTGATGGCTATTTACCACCACCATCACCATGCGGGCAGCATCGTTTACATACCAGCTGATGGAGAAGAGTGGGAGACTACCTTCTTCATTAAACGGACAAACTTCCCAAAGGGGCCTCTTGAAACAGACCGATACAGAAGATTACAGTAGCTTGCTCCAACACGACTGCACTTTTGCATTTGTTTTAAAATAAATCAACTCTCCATATAGAAATATCTTCCCTGATTGGAAGATATTTCAGTTTCTTTACCTTGTTTATTTTGTTTTCCTCTACTACGTCCTTCGCAATGTCTTGGATGATTTCTGGACAAAGGACGAGGAGGATAATTTGCAAGGGCCAAACAGCTGCTTTGCGTTTCGTGCTTTCAGCAAATCCATCCACCAGATCAAACAGCTTCTCTGCACAATCTGAACCAAAGAAATGAGACGGCACAAAACACACTGAGTTCCACTTACAGAAGAAGGATAAATGCTAAAATCCCTCCCATGTTTAACACAGTATCAATAATTAAGAGTACTGCAATGATATGACTCCTGGATGAGAGAGGGAGGGAGGAAAGGTAGAAAGAAAGGCAGAAGGGAGGGAGGGAGGGAGGGAGGGAGGGAGGGAGGGAGGGAGGAAGGAAGGAAGGAAGGAAGGAAGGAAGGAAGGAAGGAAGGAAGGAAGGAAGGAAGGAAAGAAAGATAGATAAGTAATTACAACGTTCAAGAAGAAAACACAACACAGCCTAAACATTTAGCCTGCCCTATTTTTTTTTTTTCAAGTACAGGATGAGGAACATCTTGAGAAGTACAAACATTTTCTCTAAAAAAAAACATTGAGTAGGACCAGTTTGAGATCTGCAGGCCAGATGTTAACACAGAAGACCATTTTTGCCTTAGTGACACAAGCTTAAATGTCATTTTTTTTTCCAGAACAACGCTGGGTAATCACAAACAGTTAAACCAAAATGGCACGACTATTAACATTCTGGCTGGGATTGAGAGGAACTGGAGTCCTGGCAGCTACAGAGCCACAAATTCATCAAGGTAATGAGGTGAGGGATGAGGGTTTGACGAGAGGTGAATCTTCAGAGTTCCTTTCAGTAATGTGGGACTCACATCCAGAGACCATGTTCAAAACAAGTCACTTTAGAACAGCGGTCACCAAATGGTGGTCCGTGGACCACTGGTGATCCGTGAGAAAATTCTGGTGGTCTGCAGAAAAATTATTTGCATTTTTTATATTGCACTAAATCAGGGGTCCTCAAACTACAGCCCCTGGGACAGATACGTGCAATGAATGTTTGTGTTGATGCAGAGAGTCTCCCCCTTTGGAGTCTTTGGAGTTGGCCATGCCCACCCAGTCACCTGACCACCTAGCCACACCCACCCAGCAGGTCATTAGGCAGATCATATTAGTGGTCCGCAGGATTTAAAATTATGAATTTAGTGGTCTCTGAGGTCTGAAAGGTTGGTGACCCCTGCTTTAGAAGATTAACATGGTTGGTTTGCAATTATGTGAGCCTAGCCATGCAGGGAGACTCTCTTGGATGTAACAAAGAAAATTCATCTGGCATGGCCTCTTCCTAGTTGGATAAACCCTTACCTGATAGATCTGTCTGTGGTGTCTGGTATAGCTTAGTAAATTCATCCGGATAGTTTTCCACCCAGTTCCAAAATGCCTAGACGATTATTTGTCAGAAAGCACAATTAATACAAAGAATTAATTATACATTTTGTATAGGAGCTACATTTCTAGATGATAAATGATGCAATCATGTCCTTTCTGATTTCACACAAGAAAGCAACTACAGAAAAGCAAAAGTGCATAAAATGTCCTGCTCTTTCTCTGTAACGCATAAATCAACTCAGAATGTAACTAAATGTACTACTGCCCTTACTAAGTTACCATTGTGATGCATATGACAGAAAAGAACATCATCTGACCTCACAATTCTGGTCTTTCGCTTATTTTAAACTCAAAGGGATTCAAATAACTTCCTTAGGACTCATGTATGTTCAATTAGCAAGGCAAACTAACAGACGCTTAAAACCAACCTACATAAAATTCCAATAATAAATACATACGTCTCAAAAAATATAAATGCAAAAAGCTTTCCTTGTTTGGTAAAACACTCACACCCACCCACAGCATATTGAAGTGTTTTTCAACCTTGGCCATTTGAAGATTTGTGGACTCCAACTCACAGAATTCCCCAGCCAGCATGATTGGCTGGGGAATTCTGGGAGTTGAAGTCCACACATCTTCAAGGGTCCATGGCTGAGAAACACTGGGTAGTGTTAGTGAGGCAATTCTTTGTTTTAACTGTCAATTATTTCCTCACTTTCCCTTAACTTAATAAAGGATGGAGAGAAAAGCTTATCTAGTAATTATACTGCTAGACCGGCCAATACGCTCTCACAGAGAGGGCCTCCTCAGGGTGCCGTCGGTCAGGCAATGTCGGCTGGCGGCCCCCAGGGGGAGAGCCTTCTCTGTGGGGGCACCCGCCCTGTGGAACGAGCTGCCTCCTGGAATACGACTGATCCCGGACCTCCGGACCTTCCGTAAAGCTCTGAAGACTTATTTATTCCACCAAGCCGGCCTAAATGGTTCTTAATTGGGATTTTAAATTTTTATGGAGTTGGGGGTTTTAAACTGGGAAGCTAATGATTTAATTCTTTTTAATTATCTTAATTTTTGTATTTGTATGTTTTTTAATTTTGGCTGTTCACCGCCCTGAGTCCCTTCTGGGAGAAGGGCGGTATACAAATTAAATAAATAAATAAATAAATAAATAAATAAATAAACAAACAAACAAACAAACAAACAAACAGGGAGACTGTATCTTAGGTACTGAGGCCAGCTGAATGACTTTGGGCCAGTCATTCCCTCTCAGCTCTTGGAAAAAAGGCAATGGCAAACCACTTCTGAAAATGTTGCCAAAAAGCTGCACAGAGGTGTCCACTAGGAGCCACTTAATTCAGGCAATTATTCCAGTGTCCCAAAGGTGCTTTTTCAGAAGGCAACTGGACTTTCTTGTTTTTCTTTTGAAGAGGTTTCGCTTCTCATCCAAGAAGCTTTTTCAGCTCTGACTGGATCCAGACTTATGATACCGCTTTACAGTGCATTACAGCCCTCTCTAAGCAGTTTACAGAGTCAGCATATTGCCCCCAACAATTTGGATCCTCATTTTACCAACCTCAGAAGGATGAAAGGCTGAGTCAACCTTCAGCCTGGTGAGATCTGAACTGCCAAATTGCAGGCAGCCGGCAGTCAGCAGAAGTAGCCTGCAGTACTGCACTCTAACCACTGTGCCACCGTGGCTCAATCCACAGCAACTAATCAAGAGAGCTCTACATTATTTTAATGTAGAGTAAAAAGAGCCTTGGTGGCGCAGCAGACTAAAGTGCTGTTAACTACCACCAGCTGCCTGCAATTACTGCAAGTTCAAATCTCACCAGGCTCAAGGTTGACTCAGCCTTCCATCCTTCCGAGGTAGGTAAAATGAGGACCCGGATTGTGGGGACGATAAGCTGACTTTGTATAAAAAAGAACACCGCTTGGTGGGGGGGGGGCGAAAGCCCTACTAAGCAGGTATATACAAAAGTATGAAGACTATTGCTTAATGCATTGTAAGCCGCCCTGAGTCTCCAGAGAAGGGCGGCATATAAATTGAACCAATAAATAAATAATGAAAGCAGTTTACCATTTAATATCATTTGGTCAAGCAGAAGGATGCTATTATTTTTCCATCCTTCTCTAGCTTGCCACTGCAGGACAGAATACTGGACTCAGACTCCTTTAATCCAGCATACCTAAATCTTTGGGATTTTTTTTTTCTTACTATATACTTACTCAATTTGGCCCTTCCATTTCTGGGCATAAAACAAAATTGAGCAGGCATTGAAGATGACAGAAACATGTAAACACATCCATAGGCTTGTCTAACTCTGTTGTCTACTTCTCTACTCAAGTTTCTGCAAAGACAACCTGAAAAAGTTACAAGCCAGGGAAATAACATACCTTTTCAAGACTATTGATAACTGCCAGCTGTGCTGCTTTCTTGAGAGTTTTGAACTTAAAGACCGTCTCTGTAAAAATCAGAAAATGTGGAGTTCATATTGTAAATCAAACTTCACTGATCTGGTATCCTTAAATGTGTTAGACTATAGTCCCCATCATCTGAAGGTAGCAATGTTAGATTTGGAGGGGATGAAATAATTTACAGCCAAGCATATATGGAAAGAGTTAACTGAGGGAAAACTTAGACCATGGTAAATAAAAACAAAAAAAGCCATTTGCTTTTATACACGTGGATTTCCAATTTCAACAGTCTTTTCAAAATATATAATCAGATCTACAGCTTTAAACTTTAAACTGTCAAGAGCTTTGCTGCATACCTTGTAGTATCCGCTTTAATTTAGTACAGTCCACACTGATGTACTGCAATAACTCAATATCATGGACATCAGCGTTGTCTTCAGAGCACACTGTCAATTCCTGCAATCTGCAAAAATAAACATCCTTCTTAAAATAGAGGATAAAGCTTGGGTGGTAAAGTGGGGAGGGATATATAAAGTGGGTTTGAATCCACGAATGCAAAGGAATTAAGGATAATTCTTCAATTTGTAGAATTATGTTACGTTGAAAATGTACAGACAATGCAACAGAATTAGGGACTCAGGATTTGTTACCTTTGAAATGATTCAATACAGGCAGTCTCCATATTGCTAACTCTGTCTTTAACTTGAATTTTTATGTAAGTCAGAACGTGTACTGACAAATGAACTGCCTGCTCTTAAAAATGGCAACTGGGATTGTCCTTCTGCGAGCCAACAAACCACTGAACACCCCCCCCCCCAATGCTTTCAGGAACCATTGAAAATAGGCTGTATATCAAAAACACGCAGCAACTCCTTTCAGCAACTCCTGAAAGTTCATCACCTTGAGAAACAAGAATGCCATCCACCATTTTTAGTAATAGGCCATTCAGTTGTATTTAGGGGTTGTCCTTAAGTCAGACTTGCTTAACTTGGAGACTGATTGTATTTCCTTGTTCTATAAAGCTGCTGAGCATACACTCCTACTTGAGTGGAATTGCCTATTGATTTGACTTTAAGCCACTCTACCATAAAACCATATCTTGATTAAAAACTGGTAATGTTTCTATAAAGTTATTTTAACCCCACCAATTTTATAAAGCCTAGTGAGAAATTTTACTGTGTCCACTACTCCTATGTAGGAGATGTGTATGTATGCTATGCTCTCCTGCTGCACAGACTATGTGCTGTATAGAAAATACTATATACTTTTTGACATACAAGGGCAACTAGACCAACACTTTGGCCTGTGGCATAGACCCACTACTTCACCATACAATGAAGTGCCTGAATCAAACCTTTGTTCTATCAATATGAAGAGTAAGAGTATAATCAATTAACAGAAATTGTAATGGCATGTGGGAAAGACTTGGGGAGAGAGGATGAAGGGATGATGCCAAGGGAATGGTCAGATAAAAGGAAGCTTAGCCCACAGCTGCATAGTGGATGGGGCAAGAAGCTCAGAAGAGACCCTCCCTAACTTCTCAGCTTGTAAAGAAGACAGCAAGGGAATTGTACTTTCAGACTAGCTTTAATGTAGCCTTACAATAAAGTAGAATTAGCTCATCTGGTAATGATTCCTATCTGGTTAACCCAGTAAGGCCGACAGCAATACAGTGTTAAAATAAAGGTAAAGGTTTCTCCTGCCCAGTTGTGTTTGACTTAGGAGGTGGTGCTCATCTCCACTTCTTAACTGAGGGAGCCAGCGTTTCCAAAGAAGTTTCCGTGGTCTTGTGGCAGCATGACTATACACCAAGGCGCACAGAATGCTATTTCCTTCCCACTTATTTATCTACTTGCATTACATGCTTTCAAACTGCTAGGTTGGCAAAAGCTGGAGCACGTTAACATCATGCAGCGCTCAGGTCTGGAACTTGGGCTGTTGACTTTAAATGCATCAGCATCTTTAAACGCTGAGCATCCCCTCAGTGATTGCATCCCCTACAGTGCTAAGTATGTGCTATTAATTTATATGCAATAAACCCCAACTCACTAATGAATTTTCCATGAGTACAGTTCCTTGATATCATTCACAGCTCCAGAATAAAGCCTGCCAAAAAACAAAACTCCCAACCATTCATGCCTTCACCCCAATTCAATTCATTGAATAATTAAATTTACATGTGTATTTTCTTGTCTCATTTTCTAAATGACCGGTGTTCTGGCCAGGGAGCTACACATCACTGATTCAGGTATTCAGTGTAAGTTGGGGGTAAAAAACCCGGTTCCTTAAGTTTCAAATCTACAGAGGCATATCTGAAAACAGAAACACTAAGGGAGTTGTTCATTTCATCCAGGCACAAAAATATTTAATTACTCCAGTCTGACATGGGAATGTGATGGAAATCCCTCTGCAGATCTTAAAGCAAAAGCAGGGTCTCTAGAGAAGCAGCAGCAACATTACACACGCAGATGGGAGCCAAATGGCCACCTCTTTAATGTCTGTGCAACTGAGATCACAAATTGAAAACATCAATTGAAATCAACCCCTATCCATCTTCCCAACCAATACAGCTAAGACTAGGAAAGAGGATGCTGAACGACATGGTTCAAGAAGGGTATTTATATCTCTTTGGCCCCCTCCTATGAATATGGGGTGACATGATAGCAGTTTTCCAATATCTAAGGGGCTGCCACAAAGAACAAAGGGTCAACCTATTGCCCAAAAGTACCTGAAAGCAGAACAAGAAGCAACCAATGGAAACTAATCAAGGAGAAAAGCAACCTAGAACTAAGGAGGAATTTCCTGACAAGTTAGAACAATTAATCAGTGGGACAGCTTGCCTCCAGATGTTGTGGGTGCCTTCCTCACTGGAGGTTTTTAAGAAGAGATTGGACAACCATTTGTCTGAAATGGTATATAGGGTCTCCTGCCTGAGCAGATGATTGGAGTAGAGGACTTCCAAGGCCCCTTCCAATTCTGTTATTCTGAATGCAGCATCAACTATCCTAGATAGAAGCTGTTGCCATTAAGACATTTAGTATAAAAGACAAAGGCCACTTCCTTCAAAGCTAGATGTGTGAAACAACTCTTTGGAACAGACGTTACAAAAGGTTTTCGGAGTTTAGCTGACCTAGCTTTTAATCATAGCTCTGTCACTGTGGTGACTGGGGCCTGAAGCTGTTCCTACCCAGAACGTTATTTCCACACAAAAACTTTGCCTAATCCCATGCCTTTTGGGTGCACTAGACACTACATCTCCCAGAATTTTCAGTCAACATGGCCAATTGTGTAGATACAAAATGTGGAAGGAGCTTTCCCACAAGTGGCATCAGTTTTGTGTTGGCCTGGCCTAAATCTTCTCCCCTTTTTTAAATGTAAATTTTAATTTGTTTTAAATTACGGGGTATTTTAAATTCAGCCAAATTATTTAATTCGTTTTTAATTTATTTTAAATTTTTGTATTTATGTGTTTTATCTTGTGGCTGTTCACCGCCCTGAGTCCTTCGGGAGAAGGGCGGTATAGAAATTTAATAAAATAAATAAATAACTTCTGGATGCATTTGGTCATGAAAGCTTATATTTTAGAGAAAATACTAGTGAGAATGCTTCTCACCATCATATCTATAACCTAGGATGCCCAGTCAACATTTCCTTTTTTGCTGTCCTAGGCAGATAGGCATACTTTCAAAGAAAGGATTGCCTTAGAGAGGGAAGGAGGGGAGAAGAGAGGAAAGGAGAGAGAGGGATAGAAGAGAGGAAGAAAAGGGAGGGGAAAGAAGAGTAGGAGAGAGGGTTAGAAAGGGAGGAAGGGGAGGGGAAGTAGAAGGGAAGGAGAGGAGAGGAGGAATGAAGAAAGTAGAAAGGGACAGAAGAAGAAAGAGGAGAGAAGGAGAAGAGGAAAGGTTGTGGTAAAACAAAGAAGAGGAAATGGTAAAAGAGCAGCCCCGAACAAATAAAAATGAAAGTTAAAGGATAAGATGAATGATCAATGATTAATGATGGATAAGAGACTGTACACTTAAATATGTTTATGAGAAATAAAAATAAAAAAAATTATGCAAAAAAAAAAGAAAGGATTGCCTTGCGATCACCAACTATTTTAATTTCTTTAGGAAGAACGTAAGTGTAGAACTATTCTCAGCAGTAGTTTATTTAATGTATTAAATATAAATTTTAAGAGGCTGGCAATTTGCCACAATTTTCAGCTAAATTTTCAGACCTGTTTGTGCATTTTCTATATTAATAATAGTTTAAATGGAATTCTAGAGTGGATATTCAATTTTATTAATAATCTCCAACTCAACACCATCAACAAAGATACAAGAAAGCAGTCTTCCTCAAATCAGGAAGCTTGTCTGTCAGGATCCTCTAATTTAACTACGGCGTTCAAATACAGGAAGTTCTTGACTTATGATCATTATGGAGCTTGGAATTTCGATCATAAACCACATGACAGTCATTAGTCGAGGCACCCATATGACCAGACCCTATTTTGATTTCTTTTTGCAGCAATCATTAAGCAAATCAATGTATTCCTATGGGCGAGTTTGAAGGAGACTTTTAAGCTGGCCTTTTGGGAGCATTTCTACTTTTATTTTAGAAAGAGAAAAGAAATCACACCAAAATGTGTCTGTTGACCATCAGATCTCAACGGTGCAATTTTGGAATGGGCCATACAAAGCCTAAAGGCTGTCAAGACTTTTTCAAGGATACAGAGTATGGAATAGAACTGGGATCGAAGTATCGATGGTCTCTGTGACAAAAATCAAACTATGCTTGTGAGATCTATTGTTTTCATTGCTGCGCTTTTCAATTCTTTCTACCCATCTTCATGTGCGCCCTTTCAAATGACAAAATTAATGTAAACCTTCACTGATAACTGAAATCCAAGCAAGCAGCATACTATAAATAGATTACAAGGGCACAGGAGACAGGCTATCTTGGACAGCAATATTTCCTTCCTTCATCCTATTTGACTACAGTCAGAGGGTGCCAGCACAACTTCAGTGACGTTTTTAAGAATGACCCGGAGGTAAAGACCTCCTCAAGCACTCACCTGGTAGAGATACGGCTGAATACCGCATTAAAATTGTTGCAGCTGAGAGAAAAGAGAACCCCTGAGGCAGAATTGCGTAGCTCCGTAGCATGTTGATTCCCTTCACGGTAGGTGTGGATGAAATGGCAGATCTCTGGCAACAGTTGCTTGACCAACATTGTCTCATCCAGCCGCATGGTGTCTTTGGGTTGCTGGAAGACAAAAGTTGAGGTGGAATTGCCTTGAGGTATTTTCCATTGCTCTGATACTCCAGAGACCAAAGAAGTGTCCTTTACTCATTAGGCGTCCAAGTATTTGAGGGGTCTCCAACCTTGGCAACTTTAAGCCTGGCGGACTTCAAGCAAAGCTGGCTGGGGAATTCTGGGAGTTGAAGTCCGCCAGGCTTAGCGTTGCCAAGGTTGGAGACCCCTGAAGTATTTTTCTGTAAGAAAACTACAGAAACATTCAAAAGCACAGCTGATTAAAACCTCCACTCTTCCAGTTATTTACCTCAACTGTGTGTGCTTCTAGGACCCAATTGGGAATGTCTCTGTTAAACATGTGGTGTAGCCATGTTAACAGCCTTTCCACACACCACAAAAGAGGATGAAACCTCAATACTTCTCATGGAGGATGTTAAGTGGATGAAAACTGGAATTGCTTACAGAGACAGTTCCTAGACAGGATTCTAGGAAGAGGTCATTTAAATCTCCAGTCAGCTATTTCATTGACACAGTTAATTCATTTGCTTACTTACTTGGGCACAAATTGTACACTGTTTCAGACTAGGGGGATCATTGATTGGGAGAAATATTTTAATCACACACATCTATGGAGATTTTCAACCATCCAGATCAAAGGTGCTGTTTAAAAGGCAATTGAACTTTCTTGAGGTCCCCCCCCCCTTTAAAGTGTTTCACAAAGCTTCTTGGATGTGAAGCAAAACATTTTCAAGGGGGAAAAAAAACCCCAAGAAAATCCAGTTGTCTTTTGAACAGCACCTTTGGGTTCATTGCAAACACAGCTGGAGCTCTCTGAAGCTAAATCTAAATTAAGATTAGTTGACTGGCTCAACTGACCTTGTTTCTTTATTCACACAATGTGCTGGCCACATCCGGCACGCACCAATTAAGCATGATATATGAATAAGGCCACCCTATGTCTGAAATATTGGGAAATGTCTTAGTTAATTGTGGAAAAATACAGTTCACTGGCCACCCTCAGAGCCAGGCTAATTTGCTGCAGGGATTGATGCTGTCTCTTCAGAAATTCCTGAAACGGCTGAGGAAAGCAAAACAAGACAAGACACTGTGATCCTTTTAACACAGCATTCCACTGTACAGGAAACTGAGCATCTCTCTCTTTATCTGCATAAGAACTATTCTTCTACAGCAAGTCAGGCTGAGCTAAAATGGAATCAGCTAGCTCAGGGCTGTCAAATTGGATTTCTTTGAGGGCTGGATCAGCATTGTAGTTCTCCTCTACGGGCCGGCCGAGCTGGCCGCCTCCTGCAGCACCCTGCCGGCCAAAACAGGATGCGGGGGTTAGGGTTACGCCCCCCCACGCCCCATTTTGGCCAGCAGAGTGCTGCAGGAGGCTGTGCAGGCAGAAAACGGTGAGGGGGGAGTGAGCCTCCCCCCCGCCCTGTTTTGGCTGCCAGAGGCACGAGGGGCCAGATTTGAGCATCCCCCATGAACACTCATTCACTTCCTTAGCGTGCTGTGTGAACCAGACTACTGCGCTAAAACAAAACATAGTTAAACTAAGGGGCGTAACATCTTATGTGAAAGCAATAGTGACTTCTATATATATTTACAGCATAGGATTAATAATGTTGTCTAGGCTTGTAGGAATCCTTAAAGCTATGATCTAAAAATAGATGTTATCTCAATTCCCTTCAGATGCTGGTTGTATCCCTAAATTATGATCCTTCTTTCTAGCTGGCCAAAGTAGATAAAATTATCTGCACAGTGCCTTTCTTTCAATCAGCTTTGCAATCTCTTTTGAGAGAAAAAAGATTGATCAGAAAGGATAACAGCAAAATGAAGCATAGTATTTAGAGCAGGAGTGGGCAACTATGGCTACTTAACGACATGTGGACTTCAACTCCCAGAATTCCTGAGCCAGCCAGGAATTCTGGGAGTTGAAGTCCACAGGTTGCAAAGTTCCCATACCATAGTTGCCAACCTGATTTAGAACATCTGTCTGCCTGGAGGCATTTCTGCTTCTTGTGGGAGGGAACAAGACTGACAGAGACACTGACAAGCAAGAGAATACAGATAGTCCTCGACTTGCGACCGATAGCTTAGCGACTGCCTGAAGTTGCAACCGGCCTCCCAAAAAAGTACTTACGACGCAGTTCCAAAGTTACATCATCTGCCTAATGTTGGTCACATGACTGCATTTTCGGCACATGTCAGCTAGCCTCCCTTTAAGGCCATTTGCAGTGCCCCATGGTCACATGACAATTAGTGTGTGTGAGACCCAGAAACTGGTGTTTATGTTCATTTTCGGGGGAGAGGGGGGAGAGGAGATGCCCCATTGTAAACTTAAATGCTGTTAAAAAAGATTGTAAAATTGAGGGTGATCACGTGACGACCCACTTTATGGCCATCAAATTTACGACCTTAATTACCAGGCTCAATTATGGTTATAAGTCAAGAACTACCTGTCATCAGCTCAACGCCGATGCAACCACACCGCTCCAGTCACCAGTTTTTTATATTTAAGTTTATTCACCTCGAATTTGCAGGCTAAAATAAGGCAATGTTGAACCTTAGGTGGTCCTTGACTTACAACCGTTCATTTAGTGACCGTTCAAAGTTACAACAACACTGAAAAAAGTGTCAGAAGGCTCCTTGGGGGCGCTGCCCTACAGGGCCAGAGAGCGGGTCAACGGTAGCTAAAGCAAACAAAAGGCTTTTCAATGGCAGCCCCTTCCCAGCAGAACACCTTCCCCAGGGGCACTCAGTTAATGCCAAGTCTGGGCAAAAGACTAAGGTTCTGCGTGCCCAGATTTTCAAAGTGCTTCCTTTTTATGGAAATTTAATGCTTCACATCAATTCTACTTGCACTTGGGTTCTTTTACTGTGGTTTTATTTTTTTTTTCCCCACCTTTGAAAATTCTAGTGTAAATAATTAATTCAAGCCCTTTGCAGCACGCCGGGTGGAGCCAGGCTGAAGCCGGGTGGAAAAGTGTAATCCAATTAAAGGACTAGAAACGGGCATGCTAGGTTGCTCTGTTCTTCACAGAAACATGCAATTGAGTTTCACAACACTATTTACGATTGGAGGTAGCACCCTTTCTGTCCTGGCCTCCTTCCCCCCCTCCCAAATTAAATAGCAACCTAGTTAAGAGAATCATCCGCAGAAGTAAATTGGAACTTCTGCGGAATCATTCCGCAGAAATAAAACTCACCAGAAAGAAAGGGCTGAAAAAGTCTTATTGCAGTCCAAGCAGAAATGAAGCAAAATTGTTGGCAATACATTTAGCATCATCATCGGTTTGAGAAAAAGAGTTGAGGTTTCTGAAAAGATGTGTAGGGCTCCAAACACAAAACAAAGGACTCAGATTTGGGCTTTTGCAGCATCATATTTGGGTGAGTCATTAAGTAATGTGGAAGGGAAAGCTGGCTGTGGCCAGCAGGAGTGCTTCCTTCCCTTTCTTTTTTCTCCCCTGGGGGTTCAAGGACAGTCAAAGAGCAGTGAACCATACCTGGCTTCCAATTATAAAAGGGAAATGTTGTGTGTGGGAGAGAGGGGGAGAGAAAGAGGAGAAGAGGAGAAGAGGAAAGGGAAAAGGAAGAAAAGGGAAAAGGAAGAAAGGGGAAGGGAAAGGGGAAAAGGAAGGGGAAAGGGAAAGCAAAAGGAAAGGAAAGGGAAGAAAGAGGAAGGGAATGGGAAGAGGAAGAAAGGAGAAAGGGGAAGGGAAGGAAGGGAAAGGGAAAGGGAAAACAAAAGGAGTGGAAGGGAAAGAGAAAGGGAAGAAAGAGGAAAGGGGAAGGGGAGGAAGGGAAGCAAAAGGAGGGGAAGGGAAAGAGAAAGGGAAGAAAGGGGAAAGGAAGGGGAGGAAGGGTAAGCAAAAGGAGGGGAAGGGGAAGGGAAGAAAGAAGAGGAAGGGAAAGGAAGAAAGGGGAAAGAGAAAGGGAAGGAAGGGAAAGGGAAAGCAAAAGGAGGGGAAGGGAAAGAGAAAGGGAAGAAAGGGGAAAGGGGAAGGGGAGGAAGGTTAAGTAAAAGGAGGGAAGGGAAAGAGAAAGGGAAGGAAGGGAAAGGAAAGGGAAAGGAAGCAAAGGAGGGGAAGGGAAAGGGAAAGAAAGAGGAAGGGAAAAGGAAGAAAGGGGAAAGAAAGGGAAGAAAGGGGAAGGGGAAGCAAAAGGGAAAGGGAAGAGAGGAAAGGAAAGTGCAGATTCTGTAGTCTGTAGGATAACGTGCAACTCAATGACCAGCTGACAGTGAGGGAAGAGCAGACATGTGGTCTTCAGGATGCCTGCAGATGAGTTGAAAAGCGAAGCAGAGCCCCTCAACTTCAGCACTCCTGAAGAGATGCTGGCAGCTATGCCCAGCTGCTGGTAAAGCACCTTCCTTCAACCACCACCTCCCCAAAAAAGTAACAGACTGAGGGACCGTACAAAGCCAAATGCTTCAGCAGCAGGTCAGAACATCATCCAATAGCAAGAGAGGCCAACTAACTTGAAGATGACTAAACAATGGCTCAAGGCTTGGTCATGAGCTTGGGCAACAAAGGAGAACAGAATTGTTCATAGCTGTAAGTATAGACATTAATATAAGTGTAGCACGGATATGTAATAAGTTAATTTAGATAAATTTGTTAAGCTTTTCGTATAATAAAAGCCACAACAGTCTCTCATCTGGTGGTCTTTCACATTTGCCATTTCCCAAGACTGCTAATACAACTTCATCAAACACTATGCGTTTCTGATTTTAATCACTTTCTTCCTAAACCCTCTAACTTTGTCCATTATTCTCTCGCTACTTCCGGTGAGTGTTAAGAGGTATTCTCTAAATCAGGGGTGTCAAATTCAAGGGCCGCGGGCTGATTTCGGCCCACAGGGTGCTTACATCTGGCCCACGGGGGCTGTCCTGGAAACACTGAAGAACTACTTGCCAACAAACTTTTGAAGGCTTGAAAAAAGGCATTACCGGTAGTTCTTGACTTATGATCACAAATTGAGCCCAAAATTTCCTTTGCCAAGCAAGGGAATTAAGTGAGTTTTGCCCCAATTTACAATCTTTCTTGCCACAGTTGTTAAGTGAATCAGTGTGGTTCAGTTAGTAACATGGTTGTTAAATGAATCTGGCTTCCCCATTGACTTTGCTTACCAGAGGATTGTAAAATGTGATCATGTGAGTTGCCAAGCATACGAATACATGCCAGTTGCCAAGCTTTTGAATTTTGGTCATGTGATGGTCACATCACATGGGGATGCTGCAACGGTCGTTAAGTCACCTTTTCCATTGTAACTTCGGTCACTAAACAAATGGTTGGAATTAGAGGACTATCTGTATATACTGAACCAGTTCCATGGAGATTGGACTATAGTCATCTTTCAGTTTAAATAATATTGCATCAGCAGTTTTGATTTCCTTTTTCTTTTCTTGATTTTCTGTAATTAACACAGCTGTGGGTTTTGACAACTTCTAAGTAGCTGTCATTCAGGACAAGTCCAACAATATTGGTTGACCTCCTTGGTTCTTCCTTGCCAATGAAATCTATCTAGGATTCAGTATAAAATTCTATACCTAAATGTTCAGCTAATGGGCTTTCAATAAGCCAATTGAAGGATTTGTTTTCTTTATCTGTGGGAAACAATGAATTCTTCCAGGGTCTCCTTAGTGTCAAAATAGTTGGCCTCATAAGACTGGAAGCAACCATCAGGATAAAGTGGGGCTTAGCAGTCACCTGATGGTAAAGAAAGAGCAGACTTCACAAAGGAAAAAGGAAAGCAGAGCCTACACCCAGAAGAAACTCTAGACCAAGGGTGTCCAACCTTGGCAACTTTTAAGACTTGTAAACTTCAATTTGTTTACAAATTGCAGCCCTTTCTGGACCGGGACGCCTTGAGCACGGTCACTCACACCCTTGTCACCTCCTGGCTGGACTATTGTAATGCTCTCTACATGGGGCTCCCCTTGAAGAGCACTCGGAGGCTCCAACTGGTCCAGAATGCGGCCGTGCGGGTGGTTATGGGCGCAACTCGTTGTGCCCACATGACACCCCTCCTGCACGAGCTGCACTGGCTCCCAGTGGTCCTTCCGGGTGCGATTCAAGGTGTTGGTCACCACCTCTAAAGCGCTCCATGGCATAGGGCCTGGGTACCTTCAAGACCGACTTCTGCCACCAATAGCCTCCACCGGCCAGTTTGCTCCCACAGAGAGGGTCTCCTCAGGGTGCCATCGGCCAAGTTATGTCGGCAGGCGACATCCAGGGGGAGGGCCTTCTCTGTGAGAGCCCCAGCCCTGTGGAATGAACTGCCCCCGGAAATGCTTAAGATCTCCAACCTCCGGGTATTTAGCTGTGCACTCAAGACCCTGTTGTTCCGCCAGGCCGGGCTATCAACATAATAATTTTAAATTGGGTGTTTTAAATTTCTGGGGTTTTAAATTGAGCGAATTATTTAATAATTTTAAATTATTTTAATTGATGTTTGTCTTGTGCTTTTAATAGGCTGTACACCGCCCTGAGTCCTTCGGGAGAAAGGCGGTATAGAAATAAAATTATTATTATATTATTATTATTATTATTATATTATTATTATTATTATTATTTATTATATTATTATTATTATTATTATTCCCAGTATTCTGGCTGGGGAATTCTAGGAGTTGAAGTCCACAAGTCCTAAAGTTGCCAAGGTTGCTCTAGACCATCAGAACAGAGCCAATACAGGTCACCTGATTCTTACTGCCAGTTTAATCAATGTGCAAATATTCTCAACTGGATCAACCTACTCCAGGTGCTTTGACATGCAGCCATGCCAACCTACATATCCTTCCCTACTAGTAGTTTATGACGATGGTGACGTTCCTGTAAGGAGGGTAGATGGGCTTGGGTTCAGATTCTGGATTTTTGGCAGCAAAGCAATAAGAATCATTAGTGATACTCAGCCTCTCTGCATCTGTTCTCTTCAGTGCCTCATCTTCAGCGCCACTGGGAAGACATTTACCCAAATATGAATGCTCCAGATGTGTTGGGCTAGAATTCACTTCACAAGGGAATGATGGGAAGTTGTGTCCAACATATACAATGAGATCAGAAAGAGGTAATGTAGAATGTTGTTTATATAAGTGTCAAATAACCCGAGTCTTTTGTCTGCCATGGTTTGGAAATCAATCTTTCAAAACCATTTGTGGAGAATCACAGGCAGCTTATGGAAGATCTGATTACATTAAACTTGGAACTGCATTGAGGAAACCTTCAGGAATAAACATATATTCTTCAATTTCACAAAACCCAGGTTTAACTTTAGAGTTTGTTTCATACAAGACACTAACCGATAAGTGACAATCCCAAAGTAACAAGGGTGGGGGTGAGGGAAGTGAGAGCTGACTGTCTCCGAGAACAGAACCAAATAAAAATTGGATTCTTCACCTACCACCCACCCCCAGAAAGTACAAGATGACATTCCCTCTGGAAGTTTAACAAACCAAAGAAATATAAATTAAGAAGCACCTGCAAAAGTCATCTTTAGCAATGGGACAGATGTTTCACGATTATAATGTAGAACTGAATCAACCCGAAATAAAAGCAGAAAGTCAAAGGGGAACACTAAACTTATTTTGCTATCGCTACACTGGAGTGCTCCTGATACATTACTACGGTACACGTGACCCTCGATTTACAATCAGAATTGGATCTGGAATTTCCACCGCTAAGTAGAGTAGTTGTTAAGAAGTCATGTCCGATTTTATGACCTTTTTGCCGCAATGAAGTGAATCATCTAATTGTTAAGTGAATCATGAGGTCATTAAGCAAATGCAGCTGCCCCCACTGACTTTGTCGGAAACTGGCCAAGGAGATCAAAAATTGCAATCACATGACTCTGCAACCATCATAAATACCCTGTTTCCCCCAAATAAGACATCCCCTGATAATAAGCCCAATCGGGCTTTTGAGTGCATGGCAATAAGGCCAAGCGCTTATTTCAGGGTTCAAAAAAATATAAGACAGGGTCTTATTTTCAGGAAAACATGGTACACGCCCATTGTCATGCACCCTGAATTGTGATCATGTGACTGTGGAGATGCTGCAACAGTTATATGTGTGAGGACCATTGTAAGTCACTTTTTTTAGTGCCACTGTAAATTAGAACAGTTGCTAAACCAACGGTTGCAATTCAAGGACTACCATATTACAATGCCTATCACGCTCTGTCAACACAGGCAGCTACAATTCAAATAAATTTTGGTAATACTATCTGGGAGCATTGTCAGTTCGAAGTTTCTCTAATACTAGTCAAGTGTAATTTTTTTGTATCCATCTGAGGCATATCAGAGGCTTGAAGTGTCGATTCCCAATTTACACACACACACACACACACACACAAAGGAAAAAATTATTCCATTTAAAGGGCGTAAGAAAACCCATGTAGAGCCGAGCCACACAGACACTGAAAATAAATCCACAATGCTTCACAACTAAGCTGAGGTATATAGCAGATTTGTTTATTTATTTAACAGATTTTTGTTCCATATTTTAAAATCCTCACTTTTTACAAGCAACTTTGTACTTCAACTTCAGGAAAGCAACAACGCAACAAGATTGCAAGTTACTAAAAGTAACCTCCGGATTTGTTCAGCTACAATTCTCAGAATTCCCACAATTCAATTACAATTCTCAGCATTCACAGAAATGCACTTTAGAAGTCACAGCCAAACATATCTGGAGGGCACCTAGTTGGCCAATGTTGTACTAAAACAATAAAAAAAACATTATTTGCATAAGCTAACTGGTGTCTATGTAAAAATTTTGTTAAGAAAATTAAACAGGCTACTCACCCCAGCGAGACACTTTTCCAGTGTATCCAAAATAATCAACTGAGAAAGATACAAGTTCTTTTCAGCAGCTTCACTAAATATTCTCTATAAGAAAAAAAAAACATTAAAAGGTTTTAGTAACGAAGTTGACTTATACTGTCACCCACCTGATCAGGATGCTACTTCGAAAAGAACATAATTTCCCTAATACCCTCTATAGCAAACTTGATGTCATTAAGGGCCGCATCAGGGTTGTGTTTGACCTTGGGGGCCAGGTGAACATGGCCAGCTCGATGTCACTTGTGTCGGGGGCGCCTGTGGCGGCCCACAGTGCCTCTGCCAGCAAAAACGGAGCCCGGGAGGCTGTGATAGCCTCCTTCAAACCTCTGCCAGCGAAAACGGAGCTCACCTGAGCTCCGTTTTTGCTGGTAGAGGGTTACAGGAGACCATCACAGTCTCCCAAGCTCCGTTTTCGCCGGCAGAGGCACCATGGGCCGGTCCTTCGGTGTTCCCAGGGTGGCCCTCCGGGCTAGATTTAAGCACTCCATGGGCTGGATATGGCCCACGGGCCTTGAGTTTGACACCCCTGCTCTATAGCTTTTGAATGAGCAACTTTATTACACTTCATAGATCCTTCAAACATAACACAATAAAAACAATAAGATAAAATATAAAGCAAAATAAAGTAAGAACAATCTATCCTCTGCACAATAATCAGTAACCAATCCCAAAGTACAATTTCTGCAGACTGCGAAAGAAAATTTAATGACAACTTTGTGTTGTTTTAGCATCTTTGTCTGCCAGTGTTTTACATAAAATTCTTCTGGTTATCCAGGAAGTTTCCTAATGAGGGGGTGTTAGAAACTTATTATGAGATGCGAGATTACAGAAGTTACAATACAGATGGGCCTGTAGCCTTTAAATGTTATTTCTTTTCGAGAGCATATTATGGTTTCTCTTCTGTCCTGTCCCATTCCAATCCTCCGACAAACTAACTCACACTAGATCCTTATGTAACCTTCAAAGTATGGTGCTATTATTCCCCTAACATTAAATGCCAAAGTCTAGAGAGACCTACTGTTCCCAGCAAGAAGACCCTAATTTCAGTTAAAATCAAATATTTTTCCACAGGAATGGACAGAGACAGGAGGACAGAACAAAACACATATTTCATATACACAAGCAGTTCTTTTCCCAAAAGAAACACTAGTTACAGAATCAAATATTTAACCATTTTTCCACCAAAGCTATAGAAGCTGATGGAATTGGCAGAAATGTCTAAATTGACTGTTTTGATCAAAGAAAAGTACTTTTTTGTTGCCACATGGAGACCGCTTCTGGACTTCGTGCTTGAGGTGGGGAAAAAAATGAAACTTTGATTTTGGGTTTTACTGATTACACGGATTTGTTTTTGTAGAAATGACTAGTTTATATTATTATGGAAAAGTAAAAAGTTGAGGTTCAAGGTTAATTCTTTATTTTACTGCAACAGAGGAGTCGGAAATCAATAATTTTTTTCTTCTTTTTTCCCTCCCCATTTCTCTTTCCTCTCCCCCCCATCTCACTGTGTTTTCCTATTTGCTTTTGTATTTTTGTATCTTATTCTATAATCTAATAAAATATTTAAATAATAATAATAATACATCAAATAACCATTTACACTGGTTTTAATCACAAATCGCAGCCATCTTATTCTATGTCACATACACTTCAGGTCTCCAATGTTTTATGTCAAATTACACTTTATGAGTTTTTTGCTTTTTTGCTTTATGTAAAGTTCCATTATACAGACATGAACAATGTGATTTATCCTGGTTTTACTAAGGATAGAATTGATCTGTATTTAACTTGTCTTGATGGGTGGGGAGGATCTTTGTCATATAACTTTACAGATAGGAAATGAATGTGTTGTATTTTCTCAGAGCTGCAAATTATAATAGGCATCCAATTCTCGTTAAAGATAGAACAACACAATAAATATTTATCTACCTATGTAGACTTAAAAAAAAATCTTTCTGTTGCTCCACATCCAAAGAAGACTAAGTCAATGAGAAAACATCACTTACCATGTTGTTAACATTTTTTAAGATATTTGTGAGGCCACTGATAACCAGAGAGAACTTATACTTGGAAATGTTGATGAGACATTCCTTGTTATGTTCCGTGCTGACTTTGGTGTGAGTATTCTGCTGGCTGGTTTTGATCGGAAGCTGTAATAAAAGGAAGTTTGAAAAACTGTTATACAGAAGAAAATTTACAGTATAGTAGTGTTTATTATGCAAGGATTAGAGAGCCAGTTTGGCCTAATGTCTAAGGTGCTGTCCTAGAAACCAGGAGACTGGGAGTTCTAGTCCTGCCTGAGGCATGAAAGCCGGATGGGTGACTTTGGGCCAACCCATTTCACAGGGTTTTTCGTGGGGAAAATAGGAAAAGGAAGGAGTATTATGTAAGTTCACTGCCCTGAGTTACTTACAAAGTAATAAGGGCAGGATAAAAAATCAAACCAATCTATCAATAAAATAAATGCATAATAGATCAACAACCAGCATTTTCTGACTGTCACCACCATTTTCATTTTCTTAAAATTTTGTAAAAATCAAAGCATCTCAGAAGAAGGCAGCAGTAATCACTTCCAGACTGGCCAGAAACAAAACAGGCATTTCCACATTGCACCAAAAATCAATTTCAACTTCAAAGACATTTTATTTTAGTTTTAAATTAACATGGTGTAACTTTTATTTAAATTATCACAGCTCTGAACAAGCAAGTCCCAGGTCTCCCCTCCATCTTTGGAGTCCCACCAAGGACTGCTATACCGATTTCTCTTAAGAGTAAAGGCAATTCTAATGAATATTTGACCCCTTTGTCACAGCCAGACAACAGTTAAATTATAATCTAACATAGTGGCAGGGGACCACAGCCACTCCAAGATTTATTTTAGTAACCAATGACTATTTTTTTTTTAAAAAAAAATGAAGAACCTTGATTTAAATATATCTAATATTTAACTCCCACCCAAAAATAAGCTTATTGAACTCAACGGGACTTTTGAACAAATATATACAGTAGAAGCAGACAACCAACAAGTTGCGTGTACCTTATCAATTTCACAGGATTCTACTCTTTCCCACCTCTATTTATCATCTACCTCAGGGGTTCCGAACTCACGGACCGTGGACCGGCACAGGGGCACAGCAAGCCAGCAGCCAACAGGCAAAGCCCCATCTGCGAGGCAGCATGTGAAACCACGCCCCCTCCGGTCCACGGAAAAACCACGGAACCAATTCCTGGTGCCCAAAAGATTGGGGGCCACTGATCTATATAAAGCTATTGGGTGACATAACCCATTAACATCAGGTTAGGTATCATTACTATCTCTGCCGCAGGTCACTAAATGATCCCATCTAAATGCTTTCCCAATGCCCAAATATTTGGGTTCTGGATGGGGAAAAATTGACTTCAGCTCAACCTTGACAAGACTAAATAACTGTGGAATTTATAACTAGTATTTTTCCATCACCGACTCTGGATGGAGTAGTACTCTCAGAGAGATAGTATGCAATCTAGGGTCCTTCTAGAGTCACAATGATAGTTACTGCCTATCCCAGATGAATGAGCAAGTTTCGGATCCTATCAGTGAAGAATGTCACATAGTGGGTTCCAGGAAACATTATTCTCTATAGGTAGTCCTCAATTTACAATAGTTTGCTTAGTGACCATTTGAAGTTACAACAGCGCTAAAAAAAGTGAGATATGACCATTTTTCACACTTAGAACCATTGCAGCATCCCCATGGTCATTTGACTTATATTTGGATGCTTGACAACTGAGTCACATTTATGATGGCAACTGGTTCATAATTATGACCACTTCTATGCCCCAGCAGTGATCACCTTTTGCAACTTTCTGACAAGCGAAGTCAATGGGGAAGCCAGATTCACTTAATAACCATGTTATTAACTGAGCAACTGCAGGGATTCACTTAATAAATGCGGCGAGAAAAAGGGGACAAAACTCACTTAATAACATTATCATTTAGCAACATAAATGTTAGGGTCAATTTTGGTCATAAGTTGAGGACTACCTGTATTGTGCTACCTGTCTTGTTACCATCCTGCCCTCTCCCACCCCACCCCCCTCCCATGCTGGCCTTCCTGAAGACTGAGAAGATTTTCTCAGGGTGGGGCCAGAGTGTTAATGGAATTCTGACTTGGATGCAGCTGTCCTTGACATGTTGTTAATGTGATTCTTTATGGGTTTCAACCTAATTAAATGGATTGGGAAATTGATTTTGTTTTCTCTTCTTTGCTGCCTTCCATAGATGAGCTGTCATGTAAATATACTAAAAATAAAGGCTTCTAAGATGTAGCATGTCAACATACTAGCCAAGGGGGAGTTGGCACCTGTATTCTAACACAGGGGTCTCCAACTTTGGCAACTTTAAGACTTGTGGACTTCAACTCCCAGAGTTGAAATCCACAAATCTTAAAGTTGCCAAGATTGGAGACTCCTGGTCTAACACACCTGGAAATACCAAGTTGAAGAAAATCTGATCTCTTGTCTGCTGTGGAAGTAACCAATCATCATTAATGTTTTGAAAATTTTTGCACTGGGCTTACTGGATATGAAATTCTTATTCACCTGCAGCAAGATTGCAGGCGGCCTTGGCTTTCCACCTTCTGTCTCTTGAGCGTAAAGCAATATAGGTAGTCCTCAACTTACAACTACAATTGAACCAAAAATTTCTGTTGCTAAATGAGACATTTATAAAATGAGTTTCCCCATTTTGACCTTTCTTGCCACATTTGTTAAGTGAATCACTGCATTTGTTAAGTTAGTAACACAGTTGTTAAGTGAATCTGGCTTCCCCATTGACTTTGCTTGTCAGAAGGTCGCAAAATGGGATCACATGACCCAGGGGACACTGCAACCGTCATAAATATGAGTCAGCTGCCAAGCATCTGAATTTTGATCGCGTGACCAAGGGGATGCTGCAACAGTCATAAGTGTGAAAAATGATCATAAAATATTTTTTTTCAGTACCATTGTAACTACGAACAGTCACTAAATGGACTGTTTGAAGTCAAGGACTACATGTACTGAAACTGAATGTTAATTTACCTTACTCCATATCCCCATGTGATATATTCACCATCTTATGTGCAGAAAGGAATGGAAAACATACAACTCCTACATTCCTCTCCTGATTTTCTATTGGGAATAGTCATATATCTCCATAACTGTGTACTAGGAGTAAGGATGACAGTAAATGTTCTCTAAAAGATCTCCAGACGAGTGGTAGCATCCTTGACTGTTTTTAAGGGAAAATGTTCAAAGAGTTCATGAATTCAGTGCAGGATGAGGATGGTGCATTTAACATATTCCTGGAAAACTACCTGGTGACACAAAATTTGTTTTTCTCAAGTTCTGCTAGTTTGGAAAGATGCAGAAACTGCTAATGGCTGCTATCTCCAGGCCAACACATCCTTGTTCTACATCTCAAATCCTGCACCTAAACGGTGAATCTGTTGCAAAATTCAAGATGCAGAGAAAAAGAGGGCATTTCAATCTAAAATTACCCAACCTCAAGGATGATGAAGAGATGCCACTGAATTGCAGATGGCCCACAAGCCCCTGAAGCTTTGTGGCCCAATTCAGTACAGGTAGTCCTCGACTTACAACCACAATTGAGCCCAACATGTCTGTTGTTAAATGAGACATTTGTTAAGTGAGTTCTGCCCCATTTTATGACCTTTCTTGCTACAGTTGTTAAGCAAATCACTGCAGTTGTTAAGTTAGTAACCCAATTAAGTGAATCTGGCTTCCCCATTGTCTTTGCTTGTCAGAAGTTTGCAAAAGGGGATCACGTGACCCTGGGACACTGCAACCGTCATAAATATGAACCAACTGCTAAGTACCTGAATTTTGATCACAGGATCATGGGGATGCTGCAAAGGTCGTAACTTTGAAAAACAGTCAGAAGTCACATTTTTCAGTGCTGTTGTAACTTTGGTCACTAAATGAACTGTTGTAAGTCGAGGACTACCTGTATAAGAAATGAGTCCAGGAAGACCTGAAACTTACATAGAAGCACTCCTGTCTTCCCTATGATCATAACCATGAAGAGACTTCGCAAGGTTTTAACTTCAGTTTTTGCCTAACTGAAACTTAGGTAAGCAAATTTCAAATTACAGTTTGTTTGCTATAACCTCCCTTAAAACCACAGTTTGAAAATTAAATGGAGGCTTAAACCAAAACTATAATTTAGTGCAAGAAAGCAAAAAAATTGTGACCTTAATGACATAAACAGCCAATCTGCAACACCTTTGGGACTTCCACAGCTCTAAAGAGTACACAAAGCCAAATCTCAATTCCAGATTCTCTTTTACATTTTTACCATGGTTTAGTATAAAGATAGTGATATTTTTTCCTGAGCTTTACATTTTTTTTCCTGTTCTCTTGGGGAACAGGAAGGCTCCAGAGCCCACATGGGCAGGAACAAATCTGCAACCTTTTTGGAAATTATTTTTGGGATGTTGGGAGGCAATTCATTCAAAATAACTGCTTTTAACTTGCCAGAGACTCGGGACATCGATTTTGAGTATTGCATCAGTAAAAATAAAAGCAAAACAGTTGCAAAAATGAGCAATTTGCCATCAAATTTCAGGAGCACAATTTTGGAGAGTGCAAAAGGTGGACTGAGCGCTACATGGATGTACAGATTATTCAGGCCTGGTTTAGTGAATCAACTACATTTGGTTGGGTTTGCACAAACACCATGCTACTAAAACAAAAAAATTTTTATAAAATCAGATTACACTCTGTGGCATCTAAGCAAAGAGACTATCATTGTTAGAACCTTTCAAACCTGGAATGCCTGAAATTTAACTCAAGCTATATTCATCATCTATCTTTCATACAAGAAATTGTAGAACTGTTCAGTTTTTTTAAAAAAAATCCAATCCTGTGATTCACGAAAGAATTCTCTATGAACCTCGTGTGTCAAAATTTGAAGTTTGGAAAAGTCTGTGGTAGTAGAGATATGTAATGGTTCCACAGACCAGGGTGGATTTGATTTAAATTGAGTCGATTTAAATCACGATTTAAATCACGATTTAAATCACTAGTAAAAAGACTCGATTTAAATCAACTCGATTTAAATCATAATTTTTAAAGAGCAACTGTCATCTCTGCTACTCCTTTGACCCAC